GTTTTGAATAACCACAAAATCTTTGAAAATTGGCATCCATTGAATTAAAGTTGACCTTAGATGGATTTGGCTTTTTCTTTAAAAATGTCATATGGCATCTCAGGAGTCTAAGATTGATCGTAAGTCATGAACAATTCAGTATACTTACGACCAATCTTAGTCGTAAGTTTTTTTGTGAAACTGACTCCAGGTATTCAAGTACTTATCCATCCTTGGCTTTCCTGATGAAGGTAAATTTCAGAGAAGTGCTTCAGATGTACCAAATTTTTAAAGTGTTATTTTCATTTTTCAAAGGTATTCTACCTTAAATGTAAAACTAGGAAATCAAAAACAATAAGAAAAAGCATGAGTATTTTATTTAATAGAACATTGTGTATAAAGATTGCATTATAAATTTAAATGTAAACAAAACAATTGCTGGATTTCTGGAAATAAAATATAACAGAACTGAATATGTACACTTGAACTATGAATAAAATCATTACAAATGCATATTCAATATTATATGAAAGTACATCTCAAAGTGAAATACTGGATTTATTTCAATTACTAACATAATAGTGTGTTCTAATTTATCCGTCATGTAAATGACTTCAATTTTTTTTCATCATTTGCAATAAAATTTTCAGTGAATTGTTGTAATGAATAATGTGTAATTATAAAAAAAGATTACCACCAAAAAATGATTATCATCAACAAAATTGAAGAAATATTTGATCTGTAAAATGAACATCTAATTTTTTAATTTTTTTCATAATGGATGATGAAGTCCATCAAATACTATTCCCAATTTGCTTATCTTTCTTTTATTACAAAAATATCGGCCTTGTTTTATTCTTGCCAGCTAGTTTTCCCACTAGAACTCAAGGCTTCGGCTCTCCACACGTGCAGTAAGTTTAATTTGAATATTTTGGGTCTGTGAGGAATGATTCCTTGATTCTTAAATTATAATTAATTGTCTTGCTTATTTGATTTCTAATGGCATTCCTAGGAAAATTAGAAACACATTTTTCAAGGGAGATAATTTGTGAATAAAAGAAAGATATGCACTGAGGGAAATAAAACACTATAAGGACTATGAAAATGATTTGATTTTTACATTAGATATTATTTTCTGTTAAGTGATCACATATCAACATTCAATGGCAGCAAAGAGTACAACAATATATCATGGTATACCCTTAACTTGACTGATTTCCTTTTTCCAAAATTTTCAAACCACCCTATTATATAATTTACCCTTGTCCCCTTTTTACCCCTTATTTCAGTTTAACATAGTTCTTTCACAACCATCAAAATAATATCTATGTCAAAAGCAACAAAGCTCACATTTATATTTATTTCTTGTATATAGTTTTTTGTGTAAGTAATGTTCATTTATCACAATGATTACCACAGTTAGAATAGAATATTTTGATTCATATAACAAATATACAATATGTTTATATACATTATCTACAATAATATCACATTCTGTTGAGCAACCTTCAACTCATAAGTAATCTTAAACTTTATACTTCTTTGGTAGTAATCTTCAACTCTATACTTCTTTGGAAGTAATCTAAATACCTAAACTTCTTTACAAAAAATCATAACAAATAATTTAAATACATCACTAACTCAGCCATTCAATTCATTTAATCACTGTTTACACTAAGATACTGGTCTACTAAAGCTCTAAAAGCCATACCTAGATTTATGAATGTTGTTGAAATGTGGAAAATTGCTCATTTTAGCTTTGTTAACTTTATTTTAGAATAATACATAATTAATATCAGTTAATAATATTCTCTTTGATTTTAATGTTATGACATTTTAAGACGGGAAGTTAATAAAATATTAATTTTTAATTCAATTGAAAATAATGATTTTAATACTGTTAAAACAGACTGTTCGTCTGATAAAGAATCTAATTTCATTCACAATATTAAAACCAATAGTGACATTCACTAAAATGTCATATTGTTGAATTGATGTACTGGCTTAGCAATAATTTTGGCTGGTACCATTTGGGCTGTTCAAATTTTGGGGCTTTACCATAATATGCATCATTCAAAAGTAAGCATACATGATCCTATGTTATAAGAAAAATTGGTACTATTTCTTTTAATATATGTTATGCCAGCTTGATGGAAAATACTCTTAAATATTATATTTTTTCTGTAGAGAGAATTGATGGCCAAAATGAAAATGAGACCAAGTGTCCAGAAATTTATTATGAGACCACTTAGATTGGACATCAAAATATCTTATCAAGAAATAGAAACCCTGTTTTCTTTTAATATCATAAATACAAGTTTAATGATACAGATAAGGACTTATTTCTACTTCAAAAGATTGTGTGCAAACATCTGGTGACATTAGGATAATTATCAGTCTTTCTGTTAAGGATGGATGTGTCTTTACAGCATATAAATTTGAATACAATGACATATGATTTAATTTGCCGATTTGCAGCAAAATACACCTCAATTATTTTTACTTTTCTTTTGTTAAGATTTCTTGAACTAATCACATGTGAATTTACATTTCAACTGTCACTTTGTTTGCATGATTTTTCATCATCAGAGTTGTTGCTTTAGTAAGTGATTAAAACCATAAAAAGTTCATATCAGTGTCCTAAAATGTGGAACCAAGCATCACAGCACAGGCTGAAACTTCTATTATTGATTAGGATGTTGAAATTGTAAAATGAAAAATTATGTTCAAAAATAATTCTGTTAAAATTGATGAAAATCTATACATTAAGTTTAGTTGGCCTATATAGACAATTAAATTGATTGATATTTCCTCACCAACAGACGCTTTTTCAAAGTATAAATAAACCCAAGCAAGTATAAAATGCAACATTTAACAAAATCCTAATTGCACAATGATATATGAGGTATTTGGAATATTGAAGCTTTAAGCAATTTGTTTCCAACACTTTATCTTGACAACATACTGCATTCACTTTTTGTTAGATAATTTAGTAAGCTTAAATCATTTAGATAGTATTAAATATTTATAGGCAGAGAGTTTTGTATGAAGGCTTAAACTACAGAAGTTTTGTTATTCAATATGAATGTATTTATAGTTTATTCTCTCGACAGACAAAACGTTTAAATATAAAGTATCAACAACTTTTACTTTGAAAAATTCGAAAATTACAACATATGCAATTTATTGGCAGCTTCTTTTTAAACAATTCTAACTAGCCATTTCATCTATCCAAGTCCTTCAACAATTAAATTATATTGCTTTGTCTGATTATCTTCACCAATGTCCTCTCCACCATCTTGAATCAGATTAAAACATCTACACCATGTCTATCTGTTAACTGGATCAACTGAGAATGCTTAGCACCATCAATTATGATTGGATATTATGTTTTGATGTCACTTCCTTTTACTCATGGTAGATCTGAGAACAAGAGCGCCATCTATCCAGAAATTAGGTCTATCTACCATAGCCTGCCATAATGAAATCTCCTCTCCTCTTGCATCCATCCAATCTACTATCTTACCATAACTTTTCCCTGAAATTGAAATAATTTTAAAATCATAAAATCATTCAAACTTCCATAAAATTAAAAAGTGAGTTACAGTTATATTTTTGTAATACACAATTTGAGAAGAATTTCACTCAACTTTTATTCCAAATAAAACAAAAACCATAAACTGTTAACACAGAGACATTTCTCGTCTTTTTTGTTACTTTAATAGTAAAATTCAAATGTTGAAATCAAAATAGCAATACTTAAACACGTAAGTTATGCAATTTATTCAAAGTCAATGAACCATGACTGAAGGTACAGGCCTAAACAATCTCCATGGAAATGAAATGGTGCAATACTAATGCAATTGCATACCAAATATCATTGACCTACCACTGGCAGTTCCCCATAAACTTGGTATGCAGTTGTATTAGCATTGGCACATCTCATTTCCAAGGAGATTGTTTTGCCCCGCTCCCTCAGTCATAGTCTATTGACTTTGAAACTTTTGCTTAGTTTACATGTATAAGTTTGTGATTAGGCCAATATTATTGACCTACCACTGTCGGTACCTCATAAACTGACCTAATCACAAACTAATACATGTAAACTAAGCAAATGTTTCAAAGTCAATAGACTATGACTGAGGGGTTAGGCCTGATAATCTCCATGGAAATGAGATGTGTCAATGCTAATACAACTGCATACCAAATATCATTGACCTACCACTAGTCATTCCCCATAAACTGACCTAATCGAAAAACAAATACATGTAAACTAAGCAAAAGTTTCAAAGTATATGGAACATGACTGAGGGGGCAGAGCCAAATAATCTCCATGGAAATTAGATGTGCCAATGCAAATACATATGCATACCAAATATATCATTGAGCTTCCACTAGTGGTTCCTCACAAACTGACCTAATTACAAACTAATACATTGTTGACGCCGCTGCCGTTGATGCTGGAAACAGCATACCTATGTCTCGCTTTTTGACTCCGTCAAGGCGAGACAATAACCATTATTATTTTTCAAAATAAGTACGGTAAAAGTCATTCTTGCAGATCTGCAGAAATCAATTTACAAATTGAACACTCAAATCATTCTCTGATCTCTTTCATTTCAACTTTACTACCTCACTATATAACATTAAAGATTAACAAGAATGTGCATGCACTGTTGTGCAAAGTATACCCCAACTTATTATAAAATTATTTAACATTGATGAAATATTCCATGCTAATTAGGTATAACAAAAATTATAAGTACCATTAAACAGAAAATGATCTGAAAATTCCTTGGAGGGTACAACTCATCATTATAAAGTTCCAGACAACATATCAAATCATTCATTATCACAGAAGTGGAATAATATTTAACAAAACATTTATAGACAGACAAGGTCATTGCAGTTAATCACTTAATCCATGAGTGAATGTATAACAATGTTCATATACATCCAACAAAATTTGGTTCAATTGCTTAAGAAATACCAATGTACATTGAGAGAAATCATAACTGTACCTGTTCCCAGATTCAGCCTTACTCCTCCCAAGAAATCATTACTGGACAGCTTGTCATGGTCCCATATTGTCAGCTCCAATGACTTCTCTCTCAGATTTTCAGCAGTGACATCTTCAAACACCATAGTACAATTCCATGCAGGGTTGCATTCTTTTTTGATCACTTGTGTTTTCTGTTTTTCTTTATCTGGCTGTAATTGCCTGTAATAAATATAAAATCACAGTCTACTACAGTTAAGTACTGTAAATTCAGTAATTATTGAGAGCTTTTTAGGAATGTGAATAATGTGACTGGGTGAGTATTGCAATAATAAGAACTTGCATTTTGATATCTGATACATATATATGTATGCAGATTTTTCTGAAATTGCAATAATTAATCTTGTATGATAAATGCAAACAATAATTTCTGAATTTACAGTACATTGTAGAGGGAATAAAGCTCTTTAAATAGCTATACATTTTGGAGTTTAGTGTGTTGTCCATTTTCATTGAACTAGTACACATTTTTGTTTAGGGGCAAGCTGAAGCCCACCTCTTTTTACAAATAGCTACCTTTTTTTGCAATTGTGGCCTTAACCTTTGATCTATTGACCTCAAAATAGACTGGCTTTATGCTATCCTTATCAACCATAGCAATAACATGAATAACACTAACCCTTTACAGAAAGGATCCGAATAGCCATTAGATCTGACAGCAGTTAAGTTTCTAGCCTCCTTGATAAGCACATGTAGCTGGCCTTTGTCTCCAGGCAGTTTGGGTTTCCTTGCCTTCTTCCGTGATGGAGAGGGGGAATCTCTGTTTACTTGTTCTGGAGGAACATACTTCAGACAGAGAATGATGTCCCCTTTATAAGTAAGAAGAGATGTTGGCTGTTCAAACTGTAAAAGATAGAGTCTCTCTGAATGGATCATAAGTGTCAACTCCATGTCTTTGTATACAATGTTTGCTTGAATTGTTCAGCATGTTAAAACTAGATACTTATAAATAATATCAATGAATCAGTGTTCCAACTTCTATAAATCATTTATCCATTGAAGATTTCACAAAACGATACTTGCCCAAATAAAGCTTGTCAACATTTGCCAATGGATTGATTTCTTTGAAATATAAGAGCAGAAAAATACTTTTGATTCTATATTTCAAAAAATAAACTAAACTTATAAACCAATCTTATCAATAAATCGATTATTGTAACAAACAATATAAACCATAAGGTGACATTTTTATCAATATTAAATTTATTTTTGCAAATTTTGAATTTTTCCATTTTAATTAAAATATATATGCATTGCTATAAAACTATTTTTAATTAGTATATCAATCTGTTAAAAAAAAATCTTAGTATATCAATCTGTTTAAAAAAAAAAATTGATAAATCAAAATTGCTATTTAAAAAGAGAAAGGTAGGAAAAACTACCAGAAGACATTTTTCTACAATCTTTTGGAATTAGTTTTTCTGGGAAAACTTAAAGATTGTAGAATTGATGGAAATAAATGACTAAACCAGTGAGTACTAGGCAAAGGGTGCTTCAATAACATTGAAAGCAAATTTTTCTTTACAAAAAGAAAGGTGTATTTGGTGTATTGATTGTGGCAATCTGTCAATTACATTGTGTGTTTGACTGTGACATTATTTATAAAATCCTAGTGTATATCTATTGTCTAACATTGCTCTAGAATTATGAACAGACATGCAAAAGAAAAAAAACCTTTTTAAGAAAAAAATCTCTAATACATAATCTAAGACCGTTATAGAGACAATAGACTGTCCATTGTTTAAGACTGTATATTAACCCTAGATGCATGTCTTTTTTGTATTGTATTATATAGGTTAGTATAGACATACACAATACACTTATGAATTTTTGGGCCAAATTCATGTGTAGTCTCAATTCATGTATTGTTGATCCTAATCAAATAATATGGATTAAATGAGAAAATTGTAATAAATTAAAAATATCAAATAGACAGTAACCACACAACTAGATGAAACAAAGACATCTAGAGATATTTCCCAAGAGAAAATGAAAACGGGATCCATCGGGATCCCAATGAAATCCCGGTGAAATTGGTGGGATAAGCCGGGATAAGCATCTGAGGTCGGGATCCCATTCGGGATAAATATCTGAAACTGGGATCCCATTCGGGATAACTGTCTGAAGCCGGGATCCCATTCTAGTTGAAACGGGAAAACATGTCCCATTCGGGATAAATATCTGAAACTGGGATCCCATTTGGGATAACTGTCTGAAGCCGGGATGTCATGGTCAATTATTATCACTAACCGTTAACTAGGATTCACTCAAAGTGAAACATTTCAATGACTTGGAACAAAAGCCACGTGACGTGACCAAATATTATTTCGCGCTTTTAAAAAAGTTCAAGTGAAGAGATTGATGTCCAGGATTGTCAAGTAAAGCAGATTTGTTATCAGATAAGTATAGTTACAGGAAATCTGTTTGATATTTTGTTTATAAGATATGAAAATTATTACGGTATTTGATATGGCTTTCATTAATTGCACACATCAGAAAGTGGTCTTTGTCTGTCAGCATCTCGATGTCAGCATAAAAAAACTGTGATAAATGAATATTGTTTTGAATTCCAGGTATAACTGATAAAATTGTACAAGATGAAAAGTGTGAATGTTTTTAATTCCCATGTTAAAATAATTAATTATACATTAATCATTCTTCTTTTGTTTGAAAGGTAAAAGAGGGGGGGGGGGGGGGGGTTACAACTTACAATTATTTGACCAAAAAAATGTGTTCATAATGTTGTTTTTTATCGTAAATTTGCAAAATAGAATAAAAACAACATTGATTAATGAAAATAAAATTTATTGATCCTTAAAATCTGTTTTATTTACAAAATATCAGGAGCTATTGATTCTTTGTGGAAAATTTTATGTTCTTACAGGTGGAAACTGCTTTTAATTTGATGGATGTAATTGAGCATTTGTTGGTAGTCCTGATACAGATAGGAAGAGAAGTATACAAGGCTCCTTAACAAGTAGACAATCTGTTCAAGATAATTGAAGATTGTAGGAAACATGCATGGTTGAATATGCCATTATGGTCGGAATCATGGTTGACCATGGTTGGACATTTAATGTTTTTAATATGATAAATACAGTATATCCTGCTGGGATTTATTTTGGGATCCCCCTTTTTTCCCGGGAATCCCAGTATATCCCAATCAAAATCCCACAATATCCCAGTATATTTACACTGGGATTTATTTCAGGATCCCGATTTTTTCTGGGAATCCCAGTATATTCCAATCAAAATCCCACAATATCCCAGTGGGATCCCAGTATATTTCCAATGGGATTTACATCGGGATCCCGCTTCTTTTGCGGGAATCCCGAAATTTTATCCCGGTGGAATGAGGTGGGATTCCAGTTGGAATCCCATCGGAATTCCAGCCCGAATTCCATCATTTTTTTTTTTTGTGTCCATTGGGATCCCAGATTTATTTTCTCTTGGGTTGTTCTCTCCGTTTCACTTATTCAAAAAAAGAAAATAGTTACTGTAATACATTATGTTAAATATAAAATATATGATATGATTATTAAATGTACATGTTGTATGAGTCTGAATATAATAGGTAAAAAATCATCTTCACTAATCATTGCCTGGGAGTAAAGATGGACATCACATGATACAAAAATCAATTTCAAAAACATCTTTTACTTATAAGTTCCAAAAGTAGTTACTTCTATCAACTAGAACTGATGTCTTGCCAGTGAAGTGCAAATGATAATTTTCAAGAACCAATAGACACTTATATATATAAACGTGTCTAAATTAAAAACAACGTTCAAACCTATGATTGTGTTGGATAAAAACTGCAATTTTTATACGTGTGCATGTAAACTTATATATATATATATATATATATCACTTTCATAGTTGAATAATTATGAAATTGAGATTAAAGTCATTAAAGACCCTGTCAGTTGCACATATTCTCTTTATGAAATTAATTCTCTTACCAAACATTGGTAATGAGTCAAAAAAAATTTCTTTGAATCAGACCTCCCCTAGACACCTTTAAACTATCATTTTTCTGATTTAAAAGTTAAATGACATCTGTGGATCAGAAATATGTTCATTCTTATATACCAAATATAAATGACTACTCATATAGTTACTGAGAAACAGACTCAATCCAGACTGATGTGTGAATATGGTATCAAGCTAAGGTTATATGACAACATGCCAAATATGAGTGAGATAAAAACCCAACCAAAGAACATGACAATCAGAGAAAAACCCAACCAAAGAACATGACAATCAGAGAAAAACAGTGAGGTAAAGTATCTAAATTATCTATGAGATAAACAATGGTTGGTTTAACGCATCAATTTAATTAACCTGAACTATATGAAAACAGACTGAATTCCCCCCCCCCCCCCCCTAAAAAAAAACAACAAAACAAAACAAACCCTTTATCATAATAGGGAGGTGAAGGCAAAAGGAATAAAATGCTCCGCTGGGCGCAGCTTGATACAACCGCAGAGGTCGAACCCTGAACAGTTGGGGCAAGTATGGACACAACATTCAAGCTTGATACAGCACTGAATTTGGATTGTGATTAAATATTTGACACAGCATAGGTTTCTCACACAGAATGAATGTGGTCTAAGAACTTAAAAATTTTTAATTTACCTATTCAAACCATATCATTATTATTTGCTTTTATATATAAATCAGAAATAACCAATTTAAAACGGAAAATTTTAAAGAAAAAAAAAGGCAAAAAAAAATCCCTCCCCCAAATTTTTTGAACCCCCTTATGATTCATCATCCCCAAACTCAACCCCAGCCTTCCCTTTGTGGTATGGTACCTTGCAGTACAATTTCAGAGAGATCCATACACTTGAACACAAGTTATTGTCTGGGAGCTAGAAAAATGCTTGTTTTTTTCCCCTTTTTGGGCCCTAATTCCTAAAATTTTAAGGCAATTACCCCCAAAATCAATCCCAGCCTTCCCTTTGTGGTATGGTACCTTGCAGTACAATTTCAGAGAGATCCATACACTTGAACACAAGTTATTGTCTAGAAACTAGAAAAATGCTTATTTTTGGCCCCTTATTCCTTAACGTTTTAGGCAATTACCCCCAAACTCAATTCCAGCTTTCCCTTTGTGATATGGAACCTTGTAGTACAATTTCATAAAGATCCATACACTTACACACAAGTTATTATAATGAAACTAGAAAAATGCTTGTTTTTTTGCCCCTTATTTTTAAAATTTTGAGGCAATTACCCCCAAAATCAATCCCAGCATTCCCTTTGTGATATGGAACCTTGTGGTACAATGTCAGAGAGATCCATACACTAACACACAAGTTATATCTGGAAGTTACAAAAATGCTTATTTTTGGCCCCTAATTCCTTAACTGTTGGTACCATAACCCCCAAAATCAATCCCAACCTTCCTTTTGTGGCATTGAACCTTATAATAAAATTTCATAGAGATCCATTCACTTAAACTAAAGTTAGAGTGTGAAAAGTGAAAACCAATGTGTCTTCGGACGACGACAACGACGCCAACGTCATACCAATATACGACCGCAAAATAAAAATAAGTTAAAAATAAATAATTTTAAAATATTGATCATGTAGCTCTTCTACATTCCAGAGTCATATAGCCAAGTACACATACAATGAAGTATTACTGGTCCCAGTCTAAGTCATATTTATTGCCTGCCTTAAGATAGATTCATCAAGACCTAAATTCAATCTTTTCAATCCTTCCTTTTTTTCAAAATGTACATAAAAATGATTTGTGTCAAAAAGAAATAAAATAAGAATTTTGTGTGAATGCTTCACACCGCATTCACACCAGTATAAATAAATGATAATAACAGTAGGTTTTAAATTATAATTATAATATATTTACAATGTACTTATGACTTCCCAAAATATATACATATGTCTAAGCTGGTATAATATAATCTTGTCTGACTGGGTGTACCCATAACAGCTAAGTCATTAAAGGACATTCTATTTGTTACAGGTAACTAAGGATTCACTATAGTGCCAACTGTTCAGTGCTCCCATTGTTACTGTTCAAACCCCTCTATCCCTGACAATACTTTAAACTTTTGCCAAACAACCCTAATGTCTCTTATTATAATAAATACCCTTCTCACAATATATTTTCAAACTCTCACTTCTATTTCATTTGACATACAGTTTATTAATAATTTTCTTCAAAAATTTCATTAAAAATCAAAAAAATATCCCCCAAGAGAATTTTAAAACTTTTTACCCCAAAATCATCTATTTCTACATAATTTTCATGTATATTCACCAGCTAAAGAAAATACTCAATTTATGAAAAAGTTGTCATCTAGAAATTAAACGGTGAACGTTCCTATATTATTGTGACTATCAAAACTTTCATACGTTGGATGCTGTATACTTGAATTTCAGTGTCTACAAAATTTTACCCATTTTCAATAGAATATCCCAAAACTATATAGCTGTTTAAGCCAAACCCAGTCAGGTAATATTATTCAGGTAATATATCCTTGTATTATTCATCAAAGGTGCAGGAAAAAAGAATTTGTAGAATTTTTAGGGTTATATTGGTTATTTGTTAATATAATAAAAAAAGTTTTGAACTTTCATCATTGGAAGTTTGTATATATCTACATACTGTTCATCATAAAAATTTCTAGCTATATCATTTAACTGTACGCTTCATCTTTTGTTTCCTCTAAGCATCTTCACCGTCACCTTAAATGTTACAGGACATGCTTGCCCTTCCAGAGCACCAGTTATCAATCAATGTTTATGGATTTATGAATTAGCCAAGAGACCTAATTTTTGAGTATACATTACTAGAACCTAGCCAAGACACTCTTACCATATCTGACATTAAAAACTATCATACAATCGTAAATAGGTTGTGATGTCTAACATTTTTCTTTTGATGTTAAATTCTTAATGAATTTCTTATTACACCTGTACTTAATGAAAGGAGTGGTATATTTCAATTTTCTAAAGACATCTACACAATTCTAGAATAATCAAAGGTTAGAATTGCAAAAATCAAAAGGTGCACATCTTTATGAATTTTGGTATTATGTAATTATCAATTAAGAATCAATTAAAAGCTAACTTAAATCATGTTGCAATGTTCAACACAGGATTTCTAAACAGAAAATTATCCTTTTTACAATCCTAGCAAAGGTACTAATTAGTAGGTGCCGCCTTTGACGACCAGTGAAAATTTTCTGATGTACAGTATATATCTCTTAATACAATAACATGTTATGGAAGTTTAAAAAGAGAAAATCTACTATGACATGAACCAATACAACCCTTCTAAATTTACCCTTATATTCTGTCGTTCATGTGGAGGCACCTGTAAAACAATAAGTCAACTCGATGCTAAAAATGCTTCAACAAAACTTTCTTTGTAAGGGGATATTTCAAAATAATAACAAGTTAACATGCTACACTAGAGGTTTTGAGACAATCTCTCATAAATCAAACAGAAGTATATATATGCAATGAATTGTACTCAACAACAATTCTTTATTACTGGTACACAATATGTCAATATTTTTTTTAATATGTTGGATAGCATCTGTGTAATGTTATTTTAAATATGTTAAATATATTACAGAAACACTTAAAATTTAATTGATTAATTGATAATTGATGTTTTATGACCCCAGAGCATAAAAGGACTGAAATTTATAACAACAGCCTTGATGAAGGCTTTTGTTCTGCTGGGGTGTTGATACCACCAAATAATCAATAATTTAAGTTTAAAGTCTTTCTTGTTTTCTTGTTTGGTGTTTTTTCATTACTATGACTCCCCTACTCCATTTCGATTTTCCATTAAATTACATATTATTTTCATGCATATGAGAAGATAAAAAAATTTTGAACCAACACTTCAATCAATCATTTTAATATATATTTATATATTGATAGACTGGATGAACCCTAAAATTCACAATATGAATGAAAACTGACAGATACTTTTTATCATGGTTCTGATCAAATGAAAATTACCCAACAAATAATTGATTTTGTCATTGTTAAAAAATTTATGATAAACTTTATCAAATGAGCATGTTACAAAAAATATGAATAAATGACTTAGCAATGTTCAATAAACAGTGTATTCAAATATGCGTACAAACAAAAAGTTACATATATAACTACTGTTCATGATTTGAATACTAGTGACAGGTTGATTGATTAAATATCTATGCTCTGTCAGAGCATAATGGCTATGACGTGGTGAGATACAGTTTTACTATCAACAGTCCTCTGATCCTAAGTCTATTTATTCTCAAATACGTCCTCTTGAATCCCAATTTAATCCCAATTATTTACTTCTTCATTTTAGACAGACTCTTTCCTGACTTTGTGTCAAACTGTCACGTTTCTTTGGACCACCTTATTATTTTTTCGAATTCAGATTAGTTATCACAGAAACCTACCCTTTCTTGTAACTTGTACCATTTTGCTGCAGAATCTCCAAATCTGTAATAGTCAAAATTGATGGTGACTTCGCCAAGGAAATCATTCCTACCAAATCTATCATTGTGCCACACAGTCACCCATAATGTTCTGTTCTCTAGTTCACTCTTAGATATCAAGTACTGTAATGACAATAAAGAAAAATATAATGCTACACAAAACACTGCATTAGTATATGTCTCAACTTCAGCCTCATCCATCTACACAATACAAAAGCTACTCTTATTACAGCAGTTGAAATAATCACTTTAACTTCCCTTGAAACTGTTAATGAATGTTTTTTCCACCTCAACACAGATGACAAATTCTAATTGTGAAGCATAGTTCCTTTACTTAAATTTTTTGCATTTTTCAGATTTACTAACATCATGAACATTGCTTACCATTCTGGAGCACCTGAGATCACCCCCCCCATTTTTTGGTGGGGCTGTGTTGCTCAGTCTTTAGTTTTCAATGTTGTGTTTTGTGTACTATTTTATTTTTTTTTTTTTAGTTGTTTTTCGTTATTAGCCATGGCATTGTCAGTTTTTTTTTTCGAATGTCCATTGGTATCTTTTGCTATATTTTGCTATTGTTGGCTTTAAATCTTTTATTACTTTGTCTGATTAATTATAGATTTAGGCATTTCTCTTCCCTCTTGACATGTGTGATGAGTTCTAGTTTAGTTAAGTAAGTTAATGTATAACCTAGGATGACTTGCTCTTACATTACATCATTAATATAGTAAGTTATATCATTATTTGAAAGAGATACTTTATGTTTTCTCAAATATGACAACATCTGCTGTCCATGTAGACCATTAATTAATTAAAATCTCTGAAAGCAGACATGTATGACAAAAGACAAGTCTGGCAGTAAAAGGAACACAGATACTTCATTAACAAACAAAAACAATTTCTGAAGAGTAAACAGAAATTATGACACAAGTCTGGCTATGCAATCATAGCATATTAGATTTTGTTTTTACTGGAGGATAAAATTTGCTTGGAGCTGTACACAGAATAAAATATGACATTTAATCAATAATTATGAATAGTAATTTCATAATTCTTCTATTAACTCTATCACCAACAAATATCTGTTACAGAAAGCATTTCTAATTGTCAATGGATCAATTAGTAGATGTAATAATGTTATCATTTAAATATGTTATAATGCTGTCATTTACTGCTTTTAAAATGCTATAATTTACTTATATTACAACTGCTATTTATTTATTTCTGTTACTATGCTATCAATTAAATCTGTTAATAGGTTAACATTTATTCCTGTTATTATGCTATCATTTATTCCTGTTATTATGCTATCATTAATTTCGGTTATTATGCTATCATTTATTTCTGTTACTATGCTATCATTAATTCCTGTTTTGATGCTATCATTAATTCCTGTCATTATGCTATCATTTATTTCTGCTTTTATGCTATCATTTATTTCTTGTTACTATGCTGTCTTTTAAGTCCGATATTATGCTACGTGTATCATTTATTCCTGTCATTATGCTATCATTTATTCCTGTCATTATGCTATCATTTACTCCTGTCATTATGCTATCATTTACTCCTGTCATTATGCTATCATTTACTCCTGTCATTATGCTATCATTTACTCCTGTCATTATGCTATAATTAATTTCTGTTATCATGCTATTATTTATTTCTGTCATTATGCTATACTTTACTTCTGTTATAATGCAAACCACTATTTAATGGAAAATATATAATTCCTTGGGAATGAAGTAAACGTGGGGTACACATTAAAGAGACAGCACTCAAACAAACAAATAACATTTGGAAGTTAACTGATTAACCCTAAATCTGATTTAAGATCAATGTAAAAAAAATTGATCTTATTTTATGTTCTCATTTGACAAAAAAACTTGTAAAAAATGGTAATTACACATCATAACAGCCAATTAATGTCTAAAAGATGGGATTCCTTATATCAAATAAAAACATAATTAAAACTTCTTGTGTATTTCAATATCGTAATAGTTCCAGTTAACATTCAGAACTATAACATATATTGGCTGTAAAATCGAACAATACTTGTATAAATTTAAATGCTTGATTGGAAGTAAAATGCATAAAATTGCCTTTTCAAAGCAATTAACTATGAAGATGTTACTGCAATAAAACTGTAACACTGACTTCATGTATGATTTGTAACATAAAATCAAATCGTAGTGATCTAGGTCAAACTTAATTTATGCTGATGACCGAATTCTCTTCACAATTGGTTAAGGTATAATGCTATTGTTAAACTAGGAATATACAAGCAAGTTATCTTCAATATAGAGCCTCCTCATGGGGTTTTTGATTATGTGATTACATGGCCGTTTTTATAGTGATTATTTGAATACCAGACCAAATATTTCATGATTATTTGATTATTTGATAATCTAGGACTGTGTTTTGATTATTTGATTATCTTGTTTAAAAAAATAATTAATGATTATGTGATTATATTGGCAAAAAAATTGTGATTATGTGATTACTTGGACACCCCCATGAGGGGCCTCAATATATTGGTGTAATCAAATTTGAGATTTTATTATCATTTTCTTTGAAACACTATTGATTAAAACATCTCTGTTTAAAGATATATCAAAGAAATACATCAGAATAACAAAGTTCTCTATGAATTATAGAATCTTTAATTTGGCCAGGAATGACTACTTGTATAAAATATATGTCCAATCAAGGGGAAAACATTTTACTAGTTTTTTTCTACTTTTTATGAAAAATATCCTGAAACCAGAATTGGCATTCAACTTTTTCTTTCCTTTCCCTGAAAGAGGTTGGAAAACTAGCATTCAACAAAGTACAAATTTCCTTTTGGATTGTATACAGAATTTGGCAAAACCACCAAATGAAGTATCCTCTAAAATACAATTTTTCTTCAATCCACAAAAAATTGATACCCACAATTTAAAGTAAATGAATCCACATTATATCATGTGTATAAAATGTCATACTTACTCTCAACTTTTCATCAAATACAGGATTAAGTGTGTGCTTCTTGATCTTTGTTTTACGTTTTCCACTTCTTGTCTTGTCTGGCAACAAATATGTCTTTATATACCTAAAATTATGCATAATTCAAATGGTAAAGATCTCATTCAGCAGAAATAGATACCAGAGTCCTAAAAATCAGGACTAGATCATGATAATGAAAATTTAATGCACAAAAAATACAGATAATAAAAAATAAATGAACCTTTCTTTAGTGTATAACTCAGTGATTGGTTTCAGATGTGTAATATAAAATTCAGGAAATCACATATATACTAATTAAGTCTTTTAAGTCTACAGCAGATTAAAGTTGTAAAAATGTCATTTGGCATTATCCAGGTGCTTATCCAGGAGTATGAAAAAGGGGGACCAAAAACTAGACAATGTCAGGAAGTGGAACATGTAAAAACACTATGCGTTAACAATATACAAAGCTCCATATGTTTTACATGCTTAACTACAACTTTTAATAACTAGAGGCTCTCAAGAGCCTGTGTCGCTCACCTGTATTTACTGATGCTTTTGAAATCATGTAAAATAAGGTTAAAATCATAATTAATAGTATTAGATATTAGATATTATAATGATATCTAAGATAATAACAAAAAAGTGCAAAATTTTTGTAAAATTATTAACTCAGGGGCAGCAACCAAACAACGGGTTGTCGGATTCGTCTGAAAATTTCAGGGTAGATAAATCTAAATCTGATAAACATTTTTGCCACCTGTCAGATTTGCTCTAAATGCTTTAGTTTCAAAGATATAAACCAAAAACTGCATTTTACCCCTATGTTCTATTTTTAACCAAGTCGGCCATGATGGTTGGAAGGCGGGGTCATCGGACAAATTTTTTAAACTAGATACCCTAATAATGATTATGGCCAAGTATGGTTAAATTTGTCTCAGTAGTTTCAGAGAAGAGGATTTTTGTAAAAGATTACAAAAATTTACAAACAATTGTTAAAAATTGATTATTAAGGGCAATAACTCCTACAGGGGTCGACTGACAATTTTGGTCATGACAACTTATTTGTAGATCTTACTTTGCTAAACATTATTGCTGTTTACAGTTTATCTCTATCTATAATAAGATTCAAGATAATAACCAAAAGCTGCAAAATTTTCTTAAAATTACCAATTCAGGGGCAGCAACCCAACAACGGGTTGCCTGATTGGTCTGAAAATTTCAGGGCAGATAGATCTTGACCTAATGAACAATTTTATCCCATCAGATTTGCTCTAAATGCTTTGGTTTCAGAGATATGAGCCAAAAACTGCATTTTACCCTATGTACTATTTTTTAGCCATGTCGGCCATCTTGGTTTGCGTGCGGGGTCATTGGACACATTTTTTTAACTAGATACCCTAATGATGATTGTGGACAAGTTTGGTTAAATTTGTCTTAGTAGTTTCAGAGGAGAAGATTTTTGTAAAAAATTACAAAAAATTACGAAAAATGGTTAAAAATTGACTATAAAGGGCAATAACTCCTTAAGGGGTCAACTGACCATTTTGGTCAAGTTGACTTATTTGTAGATCTTACTTTGCTGAACATTATTGCTGTTTACAGTTTATCTCTATCTATAATAATGTTCAAGATAATAACCAAAAACGGCAAAATTTCCTTAAAATTACCAATTCAGGGGCAGCAACCCAACAACGGGTTGCCTGATTGGTCTGAAAATTTCAGGGCAGATAGATCTTGACCTAATGAACAATTTTATACTCATCAGATTTGCTCTAAATGCTTTGGTTTCAGAGATATGAGCCAAAAACTGCATTTTACCCTATGTACTATTTTTTAGCCATGTCGGCCATCTTGGTTTACGTGCGGGGTCATCGGACACATCTTTTTAACTAGATACCCTAATGATGATTGTGGACAAGTTTGGTTAAATTTGTCTTAGTAGTTTCAGAGGAGAAGATTTTTGTAAAAAATTACAAAAAATTACGAAAAATGGTTAAAAATTGACTATAAAGGGCAATAACTCCTTAAGGGGGTCAACTGACCATTTTGGTCAAGTTGACTTATTTGTAGATCTTACTTTGCTGAACATTATTGCTGTTTACAGTTTATCTCTATCTATAATAATGTTCAAGATAATAACCAAAAACTGCAAAATTTCCTTAAAATTACCAATTCAGGGGCAGCAACCCAACAACGGGTTGCCTGATTGGTCTGAAAATTTCAGGGCAGATAGATCTTGACCTAATGAACAATTTTATACTCATCAGATTTGCTCTTAATGCTTTGGTTTCAGAGATATGAGCCAAAAACTGCATTTTACCCTATGTACTATTTTTTAGCCATGTCGGCCATCTTGGTTCGCGGGCGGGGTCATCGGACACATTTTTTAAACTAGATACCCTAATGATGATTGTGGACAAGTTTGGTTAAATTTGTCTTAGTAGTTTCAGAGGAGAAGATTTTTGTAAAAAATACAAAAAATTACGAAAAATGGTTAAAAATTGACTATAAAGGGCAATAACTCCTTAAGGGGTCAACTGACCATTTTGGTCAAGTTAACTTATTTGTAGATCTTACTTTGCTGAACATTATTGCTGTTTACAGTTTATCTCTATCTATAATAATGTTCAAGATAATAACCAAAAACGGCAAAATTTCCTTAAAATTACCAATTCAGGGGCAGCAACCCAACAACGGGTTGTCCGATTCATCTGAAAATTTCAGGGCAGATAGATCTTGACCTGATAAACAATTTTACCCCATGTCAGATTTGCTCTAAATGCTTTGGTTTCAGAGATATAAGCCAAAATCTACATTTTACCCCTATGTTCTATTTTTAGCCATGGCGGCCATCTTGGTTGGTTGGCCGGGTCACCGGACACATTTTTTAAACTAGATACCCCAATGATGATTGTGGCCAAGTTTGGTCAAATTTGGCCCAGTAGTTTCAGAGGAGAAGATTTTTGTAAAAGTTTACGGACGACGGACGCAGGACGACGGACGACGGACGCCAAGTGATGAGAAAAGCTCACTTGACCTTTCAGGTCAGGTGAGCTAAAAACTGGTAAAAGATGTAGAAAATAAATTTTTATTATCTGTGCAGTGGGAGATTTGACCTCCATGTCAAGAGACTCATCTTTAACAAAAGATACACAATATTAAAACAAAACTGAAAAGGCTTTCAGCAATATATGAAGGTTTTCAATATTGAATATTTCATAAAAGAAAACAATTAAGTGATGGCTTTTGACCATAAAATATCCTTGTGATTAATTCAGTAAACATTTTGTTTGATTAAGTATAACAAAACAGCAACAAGAATAAAACTTTTGCTATAAAAATCCATTTTATAAATTGCACATCTTCATTAATTTAATCAATTCTGTTCAATGTCACTTAAAAACAAATCAAAAAAGTCAAACTATTTATTATATAAAAATCAATGATTATTTGAAACTATTTCTTTTTTTCAAATGTGAGGGAGTAAAGGGTTACCGAATAGCAATGTGTTTTTTTGTTTTTGGAAAAGATTTTAACTATGGCAATTCAAAAGTTTTAGTCAAAACTTTATGTTTGACACTGATTAAATTTATCTAGAAATAGGACAGTTATACTTAAGTGTGGACATTTTTTACATTGGTCTTATTTTTGCTTATTTCATGTCTGTGAGAAAACATTTAGTACAAATCAAGTATATTGCCGTGATGGGCCTATTTTTGGTTGATTGCTTGAATATAACCTTGCAAAAAATGTATACTTTAAAGTCATAAAAAATAACTATCATCTTTTGGTGTGAATAGTACTAAAGTTTTTACCCTGGGATAAATTTCTGAAAAGGGGGGTGCGCGTATTATGTATTGTTTCAGTTTTTTGGATTTTTTTCAGGTCTTAATTCCGACAAAAAAGCAGTTAGTCAGGAGAAAATATTTTCGTAGCATGAACTTGACTGTTGTTATGTTTTACATGTATCTTTGTATCTGATTTGTTATTCTATATGCAAATAAAAATCATTTAAATGCTTCAGTAGGTTTTTTGCATTTTCCTGTGTCTGTTCTCTGTGCCGACCAGAAGTTGCATTTTGTTATGTCCTAAGTAAAGATGTAGGATTCTGTCAACGGCCAAATTAGTGGAGGTGTTTCTCCAGTTTATTACTTACTTTGTATATGTGTTCTTACATGGAATACAGAAGGTAAATGTAAGAAATTGAATGAAACACGCTCGTTTGAAGATAGCAACTGCTATTGTTTTTTACTTCGTAGTATAAGGTGATCACATGTCATGTGACTTTTAATGTAAAGTTGAATAAAGTGATGATTTTATACACATTTTAACTCCGTGACATTTTAAAAATCTTCTGATAATTTCAATCAATGCCCTCTTGTTAGGTGTACAAATTTGATTAAGGAACAAAATCAATCTGCGAATCGATTTGTTTTTACAATGATTAGACTTCCTATTTGATATTCAATAAGAGTGTGATAATCCGGATTAAACAATTCAATGAGTACCAACAAACAATAAATAAAATTAGCAGAGATTAATATTTATTTCAGCACCAATTTATCAACATAAATATTACAATTATTTTATTATTCAGAATATTCGTAATGGTTCTGTATTCCATACAAGACTCATCGACTGCGATTTGCATTGAAACAACTCCCTGATTTAACACTTCTTGTTGCTTTCCATCAAACACAAACTTGGAAACACTAAAAAACAAACATCACCTGCAAACTTAATTATCCTGCAACAATATTTTCATTGACCTGTAATCAAACAAGACTGGAGCTCAATTTGTCTCAAAAAAAGAAAAAAAATCACTTTTCAATGGACGCATTTCACCAAGTTTCAAGTTGGGATTTTTCCAGAAAGTCCCTGCAAGTTAAGCATAAGATGTAACTTTTTTTCTCAAGTTTCGAGGGCCAAAAAGGGTACTATGCATGACCGCGATTTACACACAACAAAAGACTGTATCCCAAAACTATCCACTTTTGTAATAAGCTGCAAAATAAGAGCACATAGGGAGATTGATTGAGAAATGTTGTAGATAAAGGAAAAAATAACAATTTTTCTAATTATGCTCCAAAGGGCCATTATAAACCTACTAGCTTCATCAAGTACTTACGGATCAGATCTATTTCTCCTGGTGTCGGCAGGTGCCAATCCTTTACACTGTGTCATTTGTATCTCTAGTGTCCCTGTCCGGTAGTTATAATCCAGACCAAACTGTATGTCTCCCGTTATTGGTATTTTACCGTAATCTACATCACCAGCATTGCTGTAAAAACTGACAATACTCTCTCTGCTCTCCTGAAATTCAAGAATATGTGTGATGTTAGTGTGACAGACGTAATTTTGTTGATAACATTGATTGATTGGTTGGTGTTTAGTGCCACTTTCAGCACTGTTAGCTATTTGGTGGAGGTAAGTTTTTATTGGTGGAGATCTGCTTTGGTACAAGAGCAAAAAAAAGTTATTTGATTATAACCAAATTACTGCATATAGATTGGAGTGGATATTCCTTTTTAATTACTTGTAAAAGTTAACCTGAAAACTTTAATTAATTACATTAAACAATATTTAAACTTCAAATCAAGTAGAGCATCACTAAAAATCAATTGTTGACAAAGAGATATCTCTGACTTTAATGTAATTTAATATAATAAAATTTCAACTACAACAATATATCAAAGTATTTTAAAAACTAAATATGAGTTTTGCAAAACAAACGTATATCGGATTATTGAAATCTGAATTCACTGGAGCATGACTAGAGGGCCGGGGTAAGGACTAAAATACTGCATGTTATCAAGACAAATGGATGCATATTCAACTGCATACCAAATCTCATTATCTATCAAGAATACCATTGGTGGCCTTCGGCTGTTGTCTGCTCTATAGTCGGGTTGTTGTCTCTTTGACACATTCCCCATTTCCATTCTCAATTTTATTTTATTATTCTGAAATGGACCTCAATCATAAAACTTAACGATAGCTGTTGATGCCAACATAGTCAAAATGGGAAATGTAACAAATACGACTCCCATTTGTAACTGGCCTAAATGGTTTGTCATTTTGTTGCCAGGTTTTCATTTCAATAAGCCAATAACAATTTTAAGGCTACTTTTAACTGAACTTTCATAAAACTGAATCCATTTTAATGTTTTGGTTGAGAAACATTCTTATGACATATATCTTGCTTCGAATTATGCTATAAGTTGTCTTGGGAGTGGACATAAATTCCATTATTTAATTGTAATAATGGATCCCTTTAATGAAACAAGAATGACAAAGTAAGAAATATAGGCTAAAAACAGATCATGCTTTGTCTACATATAGTAACACAGACCATCCATGGGGAGAAATCGTTCTGTTCACTAATACCAATCAATAAACTGCCTGATGGAAACATTTTCAGTTATTATTAATTCATGTACATGGGAATATTTGACATCTTAAAACTGAGATGTGTTGAACGATTTTCACATTTAACATTGTTTACATGTATTTAAGATTAAACAAGTGGAAGTAAAATAATTTTCAACTAAAGAAGAATAAAAAGATATATGGGATTTACATCAATGAGATGACAACCCTAATAAACATTGAAACTAGAAAAGACATCATGGGGGCAACTTACTGTCTTTTAACACCAAAAAATGCTTTAATTAACTGAAATATCATCTAACGTCTTTCTGTTTTGATTGTCTACTTTCTCTGGAACCTTTAGCAGTAAATTTTCAATATGGAAAAGGATAGTCAATAATTCAAAGGACAAGAATTTTCTAAGAAACTGGCAAAGTAGTCTTACTAAATTTTAATAATCATAAAGCAAAAATGAGCAAAAAAGTATTGAGCTAGACATATTGCACAGACACCTGTCTATCATTGAAGGCTGTATGTTGACCACTAATTTTCTCTTGGTTAAGATGGTACCAAACACCTTGACTAAAATTAATTTGGCTCGTTTAATTTTCATAAAATTTTGACAAAATATTTACTTTGACCCTTTGACAAAAATATAAAAATTTCAAAAAACTAGAACCACACACTTTATCGGAAAAATTTCATTGGATATATAGCAGTTTGACAAACACTAATTTTGATCATTCAGAAACTTAATGTTTCCTTAAAAATAGAAAGTGATTAAAACGTTCATCTGATTTTTACAGAGTTATCTCCCTGCAGTGTTATGTACCACCGTAATTGTATTATTGGGTTGTTTGTCTCATTGTTGCTTACCCCACATATCCTTTGATTCATATTTATAATCAGCATCTAAATAAGTATTACAATCAATATGTTAGAAACAACATGTCAGATGTGATTGAACACTCTTACTTGTAAACATTTTAACAATCATTTGTGAATTTTTGCCAATTCAGCCCAAAAAACTACACAGTAAGAAAATCGTGAAAGGGGAGAAAAGAGAGACGAAAGATACCAAACAGACAAACAACAGTACACTCAACACAACATAGAAAACTAATGACTGAGCAACACGAACCCCACCAACAACTGGAGGTGATCTCCAAAGTGTTCCAAAAGGGAAAGCAGATCCTGCTCCACATGTGGCACCTGTTGTGTTGCTCATGTGAGGAAGGATTGAGATTTATATCCAAAGGTGAGATCTGACCACCCCCTCAAGACTGATATTGAAGTAGAGTCTATTAGAGTTCTGAAATGAAAAAAGTAAACATTGGAGACCCTCAATTAATGTTTGATCACACTCACAGTTTAAAGTGTATAGAAATGCAGTCTCCCTAAAGATCTCAGGTAAAGTGAAAATGTAATCATTGTATTCCTCCTGTCATGAATTATTGTAATTACTTACTGTCATGGCTGACAACAGGTTGCCACGACTACCACCCATTGAACCTTGCAGAGATCGATGTGACCTTACGATTTCATCAATGTCAGGATCGTCCTCACTCTCCTTCTGCAAATAAAAATGATAACATGTGATACAATATATACTTTTCTCAGGATGACTATTAAAAGATAATTTTTGCTCATTCATTAAAGTGAACCACTCTGAAATGCAAAGATAACTATTAATAGAAATCAAAAGTTTTACAAGCAATAAAAAGAAGGCTAGTAAAATGAAAACTCTCATTTCAAGCCAAAATCTGACTATAATTACAACCAATTATCTACAGAAAATAGCTTTAGTTTTGCAATAAAGAATAACTATGGACAGAGAAAAATTATAATCCCAACAAAATGTCTACAAATAGCTTAAGACCCACAGACAAATTTTACGTAAAATCTTTTGTGGTCTACATTAGGCTGCACTAGCACCGACCTTTTAAAAACAAAAAACAGGTCTATATATATGCTGGTCTTACTTTTGGATTCTGTAACACTTATAATATAAATGACACTTTACCAAAAACATTTAAAAAAAATGAAAAAAAAAAGCTTCTATCATATGTATTTACAAAGTAAAACATAGCAAGAAATATCTTACATCTGTTAGGGTAGACAACTTAGATGATGCCATTGATGCCTGACTCTGTAAACTATCTGTTCTACGATGCTCAGGTGTATTTTCCTGCGTTGATGCTCCACTGACATGACCACTATCTTCTAGGCTTGCTGACCCTTCTGAACTGGCTCTTGGTGATAATTTTGTAATGGAATCCGCTTCTGAAAATAACATTTTTGTTTTAAAGTCTTTGCATTATCAATTTATCAACTAATTATGCCTGCCTGAAAGTGAACAAGGGAACAGTCTGCACAATACTGCAGATTACCACTTCTATCCTGTAATATATCAATTTATTTCTTCATGCATGAAAATGAAATTAAATTTTAATAATCACAACTCAAAGTTGTGTGGTTTCAAAAACAAAAAAATTGATTTTTATACATATCATCTTTTTCTTTGTTCAAAAATTGAACATGTTTAAATAAAAAACTTAAATACATGAGAAAAATTGTTTAAATGTTTTGCTTTCAGTCACACATCTAATGATTCTGGGTTTCAAAGGATTCAAATAAATATTTAAACAAAGCTGAAGTTTTAATCAATTTCTTTACTGTTTTTAAATCTTATAATTATTCTTTTCATCCCCCAAAACATATATAAAAATATTTGAAGACCTTTTAATCAATCTCTTTGGTAAAATTAAGGCACTAAAATGTATACCCCTATGCTAATAACTTTTTCTTATATTTTCCTAAAAGGCTTTTGAATTTTCTAGCATTTTCTTAGAACCACCAATGCCTGTTTGCAGGTGTCCCTTTGCAATGAAACGAAAGGCTCAACAAAGTAAAGGACATGCAAATTTTTGTATTAAGATCAAAATTTTATATCCCCTTTGGCTATCTCCTATGCTAACAATAAAGTTTTTCCTATGCTAACAATAAGGTTTTTTCCTATGCTAACAATAATCATGATAATGTTTTTTCCTATGCTAACAATAATCATGATAATGTTTTTTCCTATGCTAACAATAATCATGATAATGTTTTTTCCTATGCTAACAATAATCATGATAATGTTTTTTCCTATGCTAACAATAATGTTTTTTCTTTGCTAACAATACTATTTTTTCTTAAGCTAACAATACTGTTTTTTTTCCATCAATGTTTATATTTATAACTATTTTTTTAAGACTAATATATCTTAATTACATTTCGGGTTAAGTATATTTTGAAACTTTTCTGAAAGATTAATTTTTCATACAATTTAGCAAATTTAGTTTCTTTCTGAACATTTATATATGAAAATTCAGGCATTCTTTTCCAACCAAAACATTTGTTTTCTTCTAAAAATGCTTGTCTCTTAAAGTACAGGAATTCTGACAATCTTATTTTTGCATACTTGTTTAAATATACTGAAAACAATATTTGATATTTTTTTAATTTCAGAAGGGAACATCTTCAATATAATTTTTTCAGTTATCACATTGGAGGCAAATTTTTGGAGTGTGATTAGAAACAAGACCATGTTGATAGCAAAATAAAATTTAAAGATAATCTCAAGTATTATTAATACCTCAAATGTCTTAGGTTAAGATGGAAAGTATTTTTTAATTTATTCAGAAATTAAAGTAAAAGTTTACTATAAATATAAAATGTAGACTGCTCAATTTGTTGATCTACTGTCTCAAAAATATTCCCCATATTTTGCTACATATTTATTTATACAATGGAAATGGTACCCTGCTTAAAACAAATACCATTCTATATATATATATATATACATGTACTAAATTGAACCCTGTGTAAACCAGAAATCTGTCTAAACTGAAACCTGCCCAAACTACACCTAATGTTATTTAAAAACTGGTTTTAACTAGGCCCATTTGTTAACCAGAAACCCGTCTTCACAAAACCATTGTTAATCAGAAACCTGTCTTAACTAAACCGTGTGACTTAATCAGAAATCTGCCTTAACTAAACCGTGTGTTAATCAGAAATCTGTCTTAACTAAACCGTTTGTTAATCACAATTGTCTTAACTAAACCCTGTGTTTGTCAGAAATCTGACTTAACTAAACTGTGTGCTAACCAGAAACATGTCTTAACAAAACCCTGTGTTAACCAAAAACCTGTCTTTAACAAAACTGTGTGTTAACCAGAAACCCGTCTTGACAAAACCCTCTCTTAACTAAACCCTGAGTTAACCAGAAACCCGTCTTAACAAAACCCTGTGTTAACAAGAAACCTGTCTTAACTAAACTGTGTGTTAATCAGAAACCTGTCTTAACTAAACCCTGTGTTAACCAGAAACCTGTCTTATCTAAACTCTGTTTAACAAGAAACCTGTCTTAACTAAACCTTGTCTCAACTAAACCCTGTCATAATCAGAAACTTGTAGAGACTAAACTCTGTGTTAATCAAAACACCTGTCTAAACTGACCTCTTTCCTTAATTCAGGACATGCAATACATATCCTTCAATGATTAACCTGCCTAAACTGACTACTTGTCTTATTCACACAATAACTGTCCTGTATGGCTTGGTTTAAAGAGGTATGATTGTTACAAGCTTTTTAAATGTTGAATCGTAAATTTTAAAATGGTGCTTTCTTGTGTTTTAAAAGACAATGAATTGTTCATACAAATTATGCTTTTTCTGCTTAAGCAGGAATCATTTAATGAAACAGATCAATACTGTTTATCTTCTAAACACTATAATGTGGTTGCCTTTTATATCAATAAACAATATCTACTCCTCACCAGACAGTGTTGTAAAAAGGTTGATTAATTATATGAATACATGCAGGATGCAAAAGAAAAAGTACCATACAGGTGAAAAAGCCATTTCTAATGATATTTAGTGCAAAATCATATTAAGACAGAACTGAATAAAGAACAAACATTCTGTGAGTATTGCATGGCAATACATAGTCCCCTACCGGTTACAAATTCATTGTAATCAGGTAATGGAACGAAATTCTAACTTGATCTATAACATGTCATGGTGTAAACTACATAAAAATATTAAGTCAAAATCTTCAAGCATGACTAAAAAAACTGTTGAAAACTAATTATTTAAGTGAATTTTCTATGTCCAAAGACCATAACTCTGCACAAAATTATCAGACTGGAACAAAATTCCAACTTGATCTGTAACTTGTCATGATAAAACTATATACTAATTATCAAATCAATATCTTCAAGAATGACAAACAAACCTACCACTAAATTCTTCAAACAATTTTCCAAAGAAAAGGAAAAAAATCCAAAATGTCATTTTGTCTTTTAAAAGTCTTTTAAAAAATGAGTTATTTCCCTTTGAACAGAAATCTACTAATTAATAAGTATTTCATCAAAATTTAATTCTAGGGAAAGGGCTTTAACTGAACAAAGAGAAAAGCTAAAATCGTAAAAATTGAACTTGACCTGTAACTTGTCATGATAAATCAATAAACCAAATATCAAATCAATATCTTCAAGCACCAAGAAAAAAAGTCTGGAAAACTGATTTGCCGGACTGACAGATGGACAGACAGACGGACAGACGGATGGAGTGCAAACCTAAAGTCCCCTTTGACTTCGTCGGTAGGGGATTAAAAACAGAATAATCTGAAAATTTGAAGAAAACTAAACAAACAACAGGGGAGGTTTTGAAAATATATATTGAATGATTTGCTTCAGTTTTAACAAAATTTACCTTTTTAAAACTATATGCTCAAAATTTACTTCTTATGCATTGTATTTACAATGAAATAGTTGTTTTCAAGAAACTTAAAAGAATCTTATCAAGAAATTAAACAATCAAAAACAATCAAACAAAATACTTCAAATAATGTTTTCTCTTTAAAAATAACAACCATGACAACTACACAATGAAAAGGTTTTTTTTTTTCAGATTAAAATAAAGATCAAAATGCTTCGTTAAATACTTCAGATAAAAGTGTTCACTAAAAAACTACTATTTGGCTTTTACAGCCTTGTTTCTGACTAACACCCCATCTATTTTAGTCCTTTTTTTAAAGAAAACTTTGTTATGAGAGACACCGTCACACCGAACATGCTGAATTTACAATTGTTTTCGACCTTTTTAATAACTACTACACATACTAAAATATATAAAATTAAATAATAGTAATTAAAATAATAAAATGTGACTTGAACATAAAGGGGAGGTAAATCAAATTTGTATCTAAAAATCAACTCAAACTTCAAAACATGCTAAAAATAAGTAATTTATATTAGGCACAGCACTATGATAGAGTAGCTAATTTGACAAAGAGTCAGAAAAAATTAGAACTGCATTTCTGAATTTGTCATCAAAAGCAAAGCTATAAATACTATTTTTCCAGGATGAATACAATTCTAACTATTGGTTAGTTGCTAATGGAACAATTGTTAGTTTTGAGTCCCATCACCTCTAATACCTGTCTCTTTCCACTCCTGCATGTTTAATTTGGGCAGGGTCATCTGCTGGGAAGACAGGTCACATGCAGGGGTTTCAGATTTTAGGGCAGGGTTTATTTGCAAAGCCACTTTGTCAGAGGCAAGTTCAGAAGAGTCTGACTGTGGACTAGAGTTGTCTTCTCTTGATTCCGTTTTTGATGTCAACCACTGTTTCACAAGGACTTCCCGAGACAGACTTTGACCCACAAGGTCAGATTTCTTAGACTCTTTTAACTTTTGATATGTAATGTCCTTGACCTCTTTGTCTGATGTATTATCCTCTAATAAATCACAGAAGGTATTTTCAGAATCCCCACTCCTTTCAGCAGGTGTTATCGTAATGTCTGCTGATAAATCTGCTTTTGTTGGAGTGTAGCCCTCCGGATGAGGTGTATCATCTTTGGGTTTATTGTATTTCCTTTCAGGTGTAGATTCAGCCATGTAAGAAGGCTGCCTTATATCATCAGTTTCAAATGTCATTTTCTCAACTGGAGAAGAAGTAATTTCAATTTTCATTTCGTCAACGGTTTTTACAGGAGATCGACACTCGTTACTAACCAATACTACACTAGACTCATCATCAGATTCATCTACCTCTAGTGTAACTGAACTGGCCCTAGGTCTTTGTACAACAGATTTTGAGCTTGAATCTGATATGCTTGTTAATAAGTTAACTTCAAGGTCAACAGACTTATGGCCATCAACAGTAAAATCTTTTTCAGACAGTTTACTTACATCTGACTGAATATCTTTGTCAGTAGCTATACCATCATGCTTTTCTCTCATCTGCAGATGTTCAATGCCTTCATTCTTCAGATTTTCTATTGGCATACTGGAAAAATCACTTTTACCATAATATTCTGAAAATATCTCTGCTTTTAAGCTATCAGTTTTTCGATTTCCCATTTGCTCATCTTTAGAATGTTTAGAAATCAATTCTTTAATAACTGTCTGTGTGGATGTTTGGCTGTTATTTAAATCTTCTGGTAAATTTTCATCTGTTATTGAATGGATAGAATCTGTCTGCGAATTTTTTAATTTCTGAGTTTCCATATAACATTCTAATGCAACCTGTTCTTTTATTTCTTGATAAAATTTCTGTAAATCCTCGGTGCTAGTTCTTGCATTTTGACTTTCATCCTTACCCACTGAAATATTTTTTTCAAAATTTTCTTGTTTTGAAAAGGAATCTATAGGTACAGAATTTTCAAGTTCTGAGGATTTTTCAGAAATAACATCATGACCATGCACCTCAACATTTTGTGTAGGAAGAGAAACTTTTTCGTTTCTGATACTGAGTTCATACTCTGATGACTTCACTTGTTCAAGGACATCCGTAGTGTTTATTTCACCAATATTTGGTTTCAAATCTTCAGTGTGAATCTCTTTGGTAACCCTACTATCTTCCTGTTCTGAATTACCTAAGTGCACCTGATTTTGTTCTGTAGATGTATCAGATTCACTTGGTTCTGATTCTTCTTGAATAATACTAAGTTCATCAGAATCACAACTTCCTGTTGCCATCAATGCAGGTGACAACTTTTCCCGATTCTGTGAAAACTCAATTAGATTTAGTATCTGTTCATCCATAGGTATAACTTTTCTCCTCATCAACTCACCAATTTGTTCCATAGTTAAATCATCAAAATTTATTTCACCCATTTGTTCAAATTCTTCTGGCACCATAGAAGGAATTCCTACAGCACAATCTTTTGATTCACGAATTGTCTCCCCTGATGATAGATTTGTACCTAATTTTTTGTCAGTTGTTTCCCTTTTACTATCTAATTGATCATGTTCTGACCTTTGCTGTTTTCCATTTTTATCAAAATTCTTTGTCATTGATAATTCAATTTTCTCAAGTTTTGCAATCGGCAATGTTGATGCCTCCTCTCTGACAATCCGAACAGGGTTTATGACTTCCTCAGTAACAAGTTCTGGAGTTACTCCCCTTTCTAATTGTGTTTTCTCCACATTCTGAGACTGACTAAGTGTCACCTCCACTGATTGTTCAACACAACCACTTTGTTGGATATCAGTACTTTTATTTTGATCATTGAATTTTTTTTCTTCATTTGGTCTTTCAATATTTTGTTTTGTAACTTCATTTTTATTTTCTTCTTTGCTTTTCTTTTCAATTGTTCCATATTTATTTTTGTCATTCATTTCTGATTTCATATCACCAGAATATTCCTTTCTGTGCTTGCTATCTTCCTTCACTTCATGAATGTTTTTCATACTTTTAATGTTCTCCTTGTTTTTTAGATCTTCAGGATCTTTGTCCATTTTAATCCCAATACTCAAATCTTTTTCTTTCTTTTCTACTTTTCTTTTCTTCATTAATTTTTTGATCTTCTTTCCCTTTGCTCTATTAAATGAACCAGCATCACTCATATCTGTTGTAGACTCATCAACTGAAAGGTCTGCCATGGCTATGTTAAATATTTCATCAAATTCTGAATCCACTGAACGTTTAGAATTTGCATCTTTCTCTAATACAAGCTCTTCAAAAGATAGGTCTCTGCTTTCTGCCTCAAATGTTTTCATTTGTTTATTTATTTTACTGGCTTCTACACTTTTTTTACTCTTTTGATCTTTATTTTTCTTTTGAGAAACATCTAATTCAGATGTTGCTACTTTCTTCTTACTTTCTTGAGATGTAGCCTGCATCTTTGAAGTTTTTGATATCAGTTTTCTCTCTAACTGTGATTGTTTTGTTTCAATCTTTTTACCTCCAAACTCCCTTTGAATTTGTTCACTCGAGTCTTTTTCAGTTCTTATGTTAGATTTTTCTGACTTTTCATTCGATTTTAATTTCTTGGTAAATTGAGATTCTCTGGGTGACTGCAAGGAGTGGACATTTTGCACAATTTTTGCATCAATCTTTGGTTCTGTTTTAGACACACTTTTATCTGATATTTCGCAGTTTGCTGAAGTAACTACTTGCCTTTTTAGGTTTCTAGGAATGTTTTGTTTCGAGTCCACAACAGATTTTTGTGATGATTTCTGAGCTTCTTCATTGGTAATTGGACTGCCTGCACTTTTATCAGATAAATTAACCCCTTTACCGTGTGAATTTGAGCTGGGAGGGGGGACAAAGTCAAGATTTAAAAAAGCATCACTGTCATTATCGACGTCTTTTTCAATGTCAAATAAAGAAATTTCAGATATTTGAACAAACCCCTTTGCCTCAGGTAAATCTACAACATGAACCCTGCCCTTACCTGAAGAACCCCTTCGGTGAACCTCCTCGTCATCAATGGGACCTATGAAAGTAAAACATGCATACACATATAAACAATGCTGGATAAACAACATCACATGCTAAATGCTAAGTAGATACACATTCATATACATTTAGTTTGTGACAAAGTCAGAAAGAGTTCCTTTTTTAACAATATTTAGAGTTACTCCCCTTATCTAACATTTCCAGGGACATTAGGCATAAAAATCAAATCATTTAAAGGTAAAGTGACAAATACAAATTGATTTCCATTTTAGTTATTACTGTTTAAATCGATGATTAGACATTTGATATTTAATACATGCATTGTATCAACAAATTTTGAATCAAAGATTTGAATTATCTCCCCTGCAGCATTATTGTGTAATTAGATTTTTAATCAATTAAAGACAATCTTTAAAGACAGAATCCATTCCTAAATAAGAAAGGCGTTTCATGTTTATTCAAGCAGGTGTACATGTACTTGTAGCACCCTAAAAATAAGGTTAATGAAGCTGTGACCTACTTATGTTAACTGAAAGGCATTCCCCTGTTGATTTAAGACAAAATTTGAAAAAAAAAATGTCTTTATAACCCTTCTCCATCTCAGTCAAAATGTAAAGTAGTTTAGCTCTATCCTTTATCAGTCAAATAACTTTGTTACTCATAATGCAAAAGTTTGGGGTTTACATTCTATAAAAGCTCTGGTATTATATACATGTACCAAAAAGGCATAAATTGTCTACTGATTAAAATGTATCTGTTTTTTAGGAACTCAAGGCAAAGAAACAGGTCAAACAGTGAGGCTTATAGAGCTTTACTTTTCTATTTGCATCAGGTGCAAACCAGTTTTACATCCAAAACAACGAATGGTTATTCCCTTTATACTGCAAGGTTCAAAACATAAATATTTTGGTAAAAATCAAGAATTTGAACTTAAGGTAGACAATTACAAACATTTGCAGAAACATATGTCAAGTCATAAACAAAGCTTTATAATTGATCAGTGTTGTGTTATGCTAGCAGTTTGCCTTCAAAAAATAAAGATATGATTAGTTTAATACTTTTTATAAGAAACAGAAATAGATATATGTCTCTATGTTTCATAGAATAGACAAACTTGAAGTTAGCCCTTCCCACAGATGACAGATAAAAAAAGCTGAAGTGACTATCCATTTGAAACAATTTCACAATATGTTTAAGATCAGTGTTTGTACTGACTTGAAAATAACTTTAAAAAATATACATACTGTGCTCTGATGATCTTTGTGACTTTCCATTCTTCCTGGAAACTCGTCTAAATCTAATGTTAGATAACTCTTCTACAGTGTAATCTTCTTCACCGCTATCCTTAACTACCGATTCTGTTCCGCTGTGTTCAGCTGTTCCACTTATTCCACTGACACCACTTACACGAGAGTCTGCGTCAGAATCCTGTCGGTACAACTCTGATGAAAATCGTTTCTTTGGTAACGGTGAATCTGCATGGGATGATGGAATACTGTCAAATGAATAAGGTGACGGTGATCTATTTTGCTGGTAGGTTTGTCTTTTTTGTAAACTAGGTGTGTCTATGTTTTCAGGTGAGGTTGAACGATACGATGACATACTTCCTGTCCTAACAACTTGGTCATGTATATGATTTGATTTATGATCTTTGATTTTACCTGTGGTCTCTTGATCAAATTTTGAAGGTTTGATTTTTTTTGGTGTTGTTCCTGATGAATCAGAATGAATATCAACACGTATCTGTGTTTCTGTGCTTCCGGTATTTTTCATGAAAGGTGTTTCATCTGACATTGCTGTTTGATCAGAATCATCAGAATAGTTTCGTTGTAAGACACCTCTCGTAAGATTGCTTGCTGTAACAAAGTCATCTGCTGATCGTGTGTCTGTCATTCTATGTGTAACATTTGGTGATGAATCTCTTGAAGATCGATCATCATCAGACGAACTTGATTCATCAGAATCATCGTACCGTTTAGTGGTTAATTTTTTCACTGACACCTGATGTTTTGATTCAACTTGTTCTGTTTTTTCACTAGATTTACCCAATTTAAAAGAATCGAAAAGTTGGCTCAGCTTTCTTTTGTCAGAGTCATTGGGATATTCAATCCTTTCATTCTCTGCTTCTTTCTTACTTCGAAATGCTGTTCCATTCTGGACTGGATTTCCATTCTGAACTCCTCTTGATTTCTCTACCTGAGAAGTGTCATCATTTACTCTACCAGGCCCTTCAAAGAGAAATAATCTAAAGTTGAAAATTTTTAATCATATTTTATTCTTATAATGATATTTTTAACAATTCAACCATCAATTGTTCCTATAAAGGATTGTTGGAAGAGATTTTCTCAAAAGTAGCCAGATTTTTTTATGAGTATATTATTCCTCACAATACATTTTCATCTTTGAACCAATATGTGCATGTAAAGGCCATAATTAAGGGAGACAACAGGAACAATCTTTATATCAATATTGAACCAGAATATGTTTACCTGGATGTACTAATCAGTGCTAGGGACTGTCTTGAATGTGCGATGAAGGGGTGATCTTTAGTTTTGTGTTGAAAAAGAGCAACGAGAAACCAAGGGGACAAGCAAAAACCATAAGTCTAAGAAAAGCATACAAATAGACAAACAACATTTAATTTAACACTACATAGAAACCCAGATTCCACCATAACCAGGGGCGATCTAAGGTGTGAAAGTCTCATTGTCACTTAGAGATAAAGAACACAATGAAAGCTGTTCCTTTGCTTTGGGTTTTCAAGAGTGCAGTCAAAACCAGAAATTAATATACCATTTTCCCTCCCTTTTCCTAATTTCTGATACACATGACAAATACCAATATGATATGATATTGAATGATGATTTTTAAACATCAACAAAAGTAATATCAGGCTTGGCTGCCTCTTTCAATTACCTCAAAACGTGAGAACAGTAATAAATTCTATTAAAACAATTGATTTTCAACCATTGAAGAAAAGGTGATTCTATATGGGTCATAATAAAAACTCATTCATTTATTTTTGTGCTTTTTAAATAAATAAAGAATCAGGAAATGCATAAATCAACAAACAATGAAAGCAACGTCCATGTCATGGGATATTATTGACAAGAAATCCATTTCCCCCCAAAATCAAGGAAATGTGTAGTTACATGTTTATAAATAAATTACGATTCAAAAATATCTACATCAAATTGTATAAAAGTTCACTTTAAAAACAAATTAAGATCATTATATTAGTCTGCGGACAAAAATTAAAGCTACGTAGCAACTTATGCATAGAATGATCTACTGCCAAAGTTACTGCCTTATATCAATATGTTTATCTTATTTAAAGAAATACAAGCGTAAAAAATACTGTGATAAAAATGTCCTAATTATTAAACACTTCGTAATTATTCTTTTGTTACTCTCCCATCTACACTTACTAAATAAAAAATAAGCTGTATCAAGAACTAACCTTTCATCATGAAAATTTTGAAAATATAAATTTAATTTTATTATCAAGACACGAACAAAGTATTTTTCCATCATTTGATTTCTTAAGATGCTGTTAAAATTTGATAAGAATATTTTCATGGTGTAACTCGTACATTAACATTTCAGTTTTTTGTTTGAATATTGATTGATTAATTGTTGTTAGCTGAACATTCATTGACATAGATATCAGGCATTTTCAGGATGAGAACAATTTGACAATAAATGTAATAGATAAGTTCTGCTAAGTGGATGTTTGGAAGGACACTGGAAAGGATGATATGTTGGATAGGGGCAGAAAATTTCTCCTTGCAACAAACTACCTACAGTGCCCTCAACAAGTTGTTGTAAGAGTTCTTGAACATGGAGAATGTTTGGCACTCTACCTGCAATAGATTTAGAGTCTCCATTCTGACCAGACGTAGCTGTGCATTTATACACAGCACACTGTCAAAAAGACATCTATCAAGGTTTTTATGACTGGATTATGTGCAGGAAACCATATGTCTGTACATTCTCCCAAAAATTTTATACATCCTTGAACATACAAATTCCTCAGAATAATACTATAAAGACAATGTAAATGGAGTCCAAGGTGACTTGTTCCCACCCTCAACAATGTTCTACAATAAATCCTAACTTTAATGAATTTCCTTGGAAAGAGAATCAAGGGATAGATTCAGTGCCTGTTCCAATCAGACAAGGATATAATTCTATTTCTCCCAATTGCATCATACATCAACAAGACATATCATCAGCCACATTTTATGATCATAATATAACACAAGATTCTGCAGAAATTATTACCCTTATTCAACCTCCAATGATGAACAAATCTATTATAAAGGCAATTGAATAAAGAGGCTCCAGAAATACTATATTTGGCATTTTTGTCGCCATTTATTATTGAGAAAATACTCCTAAAATTTACTAACCTCAGAATGTAAGTTTAAAATAGAATTTTTTGTTTGAAAGAAAGCTGCAATTTGTTCATTGATAAGTCGTTTGTTGATGTGGTTCATAAGTGTTTCTCGTTTCTCGTTTTTTATATAGATTAGACCGTTGGTTTTCCCGTTTGAATGGTTTTACACTAGTAATTTTTGGGGCCCTTTATAGCTTACTGTTCGGTGTGAGCCAAGGCTCCGTGTTGAAGACCGTACTGTGACCTATAATGGTTTACTTTTATAAATTTTGACCTGGATGGAGAGTTGTCTCATTGGCACTCATACCACATCTTCTTATATCTATATTTACTATCGGCCATGTTGAAAATGTTCCTATCCCTGAAAAAGTTATGATTGGACTTACATGTACCAGTCCAGTAAGCAAGAATATGTGTCATACTCCAATCTAAAAAATCCATTGTTCTAAAAATGTCTGTATTGTATTCGGCAGTGTATCTGTCTTTAATCTTCATTTGTTTATTAATTTCCATTCCATAAAAATTGTACAATAAACCACTCTTATATCAATGTTTAAATCAACTCTTTTTCCAAGAGTAATCTTTACGGTAATAAGTTAAAAATTATAAAAATGCACACCAAAAAAATTGTCAAAATCACATGTAAAATTTGTAGAAATAGTAAACTTCCAACACAACCAATTATTTAATGTCTATTAAGACTGCGATATAAATATTGAATTCTTCAAATCTTACAACCCTAAAATAAATTTCTTTATTCCTTGTACCGGTATTATTTCAGAGTATACTTTATTGAATGAACACTCTGGTTATATGTCTATCAATTTAACTAATTAACAAGTTATATAAAAAGTGGGGTTGTTATACATCCTGTTGTCGGAGGCCATTTTTTTGTGGTTTCCTAAACAATTAAAAAGGAGTGTTGTTTTGTTTATACGAGTGGTAGCGTTAAGAGATAAACATCAACAGACTTTTTATCATCATCAAGGACGTCTGAAAATTGGACCACAGGATGTATTCTCCCTAAATGTCATCATCAACACCTATCTTACACACGTGACTATAAACATCCTTGCTACAAATGGGCTAGGACCTTCCAGAAACTTCACCAACAGAACAGTGAAATACTTGAATTGTTAAAAATGTTGATTGATTGTTGTTTGCTTAATGTCCAGTGGCAAATATTTCATGCATGTTAAGAACTAGTGGGAAATTTTGTACACACTGTTGACATTGTGGTACATGTATTTATTAAAGAATTGTATACCCTTTTAACATGACAGGAGTCACTAGTTAAGCAGGTGATGTTGACCACCCAGTGTGTGTGATTTCAACCAAGGTTGTTTTTGGCCATGGTGCTGATAGTTTTTATTTGACTTAAATGTTGATTGCCCTTCTTGTTTTAAGGAAAAAGAAAAAAATCTATAATATTATAACACTTTGGTCCTCTGGTCCTTAAGAAACCATCTAAATTCAAGGAGATGAGTGAGACACTGCTGATACTCTTAGTAAATTCACTGCTGTCATGTAATTGGAGGCTTCTTTGTCAACAGTGCCAGTCTTGTCCTATCTCAGACTATGTAATTCAAACACAAGGACTGAAAAACCTATAGCCAGTAGTATGTACATGTAAGAGGCAACTCCCAAAAAAGATGAAAATCTTAAATCCAACAATACTTTGCAAGACTTCAAAATGCTTCATTTCTTTTCTATCTAATAATGCCATCACCTGTTTTTATGACTCTCCAGATTTGATTTATTCTAAAAAGTTTGCAGTCTCTTTAATACAACTTCTGTTCAATTACCATGGCTTTAATTATATCAACTTTCAAATGGTGCAACATTATTTATGAAGAAAGGATGGATGAATGAATATTTTACTTTACAGTTCTGTTGCAGATCATGCACACCACATCCCTCATTCAAGGAGAGTATACATATATACACTACAATGAGATCAAACAGGCAAATATGTCAAGTAAAGTACTTTGATATAAAATAATTAGATACGGTATGATTGCCAATGAGACTATCCACCAGAGACCACATGACGTAGATGTAAGAGACTATAGGTCACCTCATTTTAAAAAAAATTATTTGTTTAATGTCCCAGTTGGCACGCCATCAATAAACTCTTACAAACTTCTATGGACCAGGGGATAATTATTAATATAAAACATAGGAAAATATCCTTCCATTTAACATTTAGAGGCTTGAAAAAGAATAAAACACCAACAAGCAGGAAAGTCTTGGAAATCTCAGACACCTTCCTGTTAAGATTTACCATCCCCTCACTTGACAGAAAGATAGATTCCCAAAACCTTATCATGTCTATAAAATGTTATATATTGCATTTCCTTAAAGCATAAACAAGAGTATTTTTTGTCATAATTTTTCTTTTAATGATAAGTTGAATTTAATCATTGCTATCTTTTTGTATTGATTCCAAATATTCCATTCCCAGGTACAAGAAACATTAGTTCGCAGATAAAAAAAAAAACAATCCGTGTTAAACCGGCTCGTCCCAGATCCTGAAAAACAATCTTGATGAAAATCTTCTGGCTTTAAAGTCAATGGAATATATTTAATGTAACAGATCCATATAATTAGCAGATAAATGAAACATTACAATAAATATTTGATGAGTTTGAACAAATGAGGATAAATAGATTTATAGGCAAAGAAATCAAACGGTTATGTTTACTCACTAAACATTTTTAATAAATGATGAGCACGAAATACTTCAGTCTCACATGAGCAATTATAATACTGGAAAAGATGGTTTATTTTGCAATTTAATATTGACCTATGCATAAGTAACAAAACTAAATACCCAGGACTATTTTTCACTATCTATCATGCAATTACAAACATATGTAAATAAGGAGTTATTGACACACACTAATATGGTATGGAATTCTTGAAGGATTCAAATACCCTCTGATGGAGAAATTTTGATGATTTAATAAAATTTTAAAATATCTCATTTGATGAAAAGACAATTACAATTCTGTAATAAATAACATGTATACAATATCAAAAGAAAAAAGGGTAACCACAAAAAAGTGAAAATATATATTCAAAACTGAAAATGACAGATGCCATTATTGTTAACCAAACATTTGTTTACTTCACTCTTTCAAATTTAAAAGATATTTTCATACTTTTACTTATTCTAAAGAGTTTATCATATTTGAACAAAAATTGATATATTTAAAAAAAAAAAAAATGACTAAATGAAAAACTTAAATACTTAAAAAAAGGTACAATAATGAATTGTGAAAAATAAACCTCTTAACAGAGAACAAATGAGTTTTTACTAATTAATTAATAACAATATTGGGCAATCAACTGAAAACAAACACAGCAACAAAAACACAAAATCAATATTACTACCCTATAACGGAAACAGAACTACTATTACAAAAAAAAAAACATCTAGGACAAAATATGACAACATTTTATTACCTGAAGATGCTGCAGCTTCCAGAATTAACATCCGAAACCTCTCCAGCATGCTTAAAATCAAGCATTACCGTTAATACATCATAATACAACTAATCACCACTTTAAAATGATGAACAAAAACATATCACTATCATCCCATATTTAAAAGTAAAAGTAAGAATCGCTGATTACTCTTCACTGAATTAATCAATATTCATCTACGGGAGATACCATCAGGACAATATTACGACACTCTTGAAAGTGCAACTTGCACTGGATGTTGTCAGTAATCAATTAAAAGTTAGACTGAGACAGATCGTAATTGTTTGGAGATGCATGTTTCATTGATTACTAGATCTAGGAATGTAAATCTATATTAACTCTCAATAGAGCAAAACTGATGAGAAATATTATCAGAACTGACATGTGTAATGGTAAAAAACAAAACCTTGCTAAGCTTGATAGAGTTAGCAATGGTTAGCAAGCTGCTTTCATATAATTAATATCTATATTCAATAATGCCTAGCCTGATAAAGATATCATGATTGTATTAATACAGATATTATCAATAATTCCTGCAAATTTTCCAATTGTAGCCATGTTGTCTGTAGTATTAGCTTAACTAAATAAGGATACTGTCTATAATAGAACTGAATAATGGATTTCTGATTCTACAATTAAAAGAACGGAAATTTCTGAAATTCTAAAAAATGAAGAACTTTATTTAGTTCCCATGAAGAGTAGATATCATAGAATAAGGAGATATGGTATGACTGCCAATAAGACAAAATAACATGGATTTAAGCAATTATAGGTCATCCTAGACTGCAAAGTGTTTCTGTTGTTTTATCAATAGACTGAATTATACAAAGATCAATGTCTATATAATAATCTTAATAGGAAAGTCTGCAAGTTTTAATGATTTTGCCATCCTTGTCTTAAGAAAAGTATCATATAATTGGTCAGGTGATATCTAAAAAAACCACCAGACTGTGATACAACTTGATTAAACTAAGTATTTTCTCAATAATAGTTGGAAAAAAGCATTAAAAAAGAATTATATATACCTCTGAATTGCTTTATTTTAGTCATACTAGATATTCTCTTATTCACTGAAATTCAAGTAGATTTTGCTATTTTCTACTGGTCCACATTGAAAGTAGGCTTGCCCCCACTCTCTCCCCCCCCCCCCCCCAAAAAAAAACAAGAATGTGTCCATAGTATACGGATGCCCCACTCGCACTATCATTTTCTATGTTCAGTGGACTGTGAAATTGGGGTCAAAACTCGAATTTGGCATTAAATTTAGAAAGATCATATCATAATGAACATGTGTACTAAGTTTTAAGTTGATTGGACTTCAACTTCATCTAAAACCTAAATTTACCTTGACCAAAAACTTTATCCTAAGCGGGACAGACGGATGAACGAACAGACGCAGACGGAAAAACATAATGCCCCTAGGTGGAGCATAAAAAACGCTTACCAATTAACTAGACTTGTAATTTTGAAATTATAAAGAAACTTCCTCAGGCAAAGTTGACTTTTGATGGATTTGGCTATTTTTAGGTACTTTTGGTCAAATAGCTCTTCACCTGTTTTGGTTCTTATACATCCTTGGCTTTCAAATATTCGGCTTTGAGCGTTCCTGACACATTAAAATTTATAACATGTTGTTTTGCATTGTGTACTAGTTAGTCATTTGTATTTCAACTTTTCTATAAAAAAAAACAATAAACTTAAGTGGAAGAGAGTGAGTTGGTCACAGTGAGTGAGTTGACTGATGGAAAAGTAAATTCTCATAAAACAAAGAGCATTATAAAATTTTCCATTAAATTTTTTTTAAATTGATTTTCATCTTAAAACTGTTACATCAATATGTTTATCTTACGTGATTACAGCATCGTTTTCAGATCGGTTTAATTAAATATTCATTTAAAATTCATCTATGTCAGACACCAAACTCTCTTTTATCAAATATTTACTTTAATTTAATCTGCTCCTATAATGCTTTAATACAACAAAGTGCAGCATAGATTCTGAAACAAAATCCATTTTCTACAATTTTCTGATGGGAATTGATTAATAAATGCAATAGATAATTAAAATAGTATGTGCATAACCTTTATAATACTAATTTTGAATCAAATTTCCAATACTTTTTCTTTCACTTTAAAGCGACAAGAACAAGAGAGAATTGATTTTGAACTCCTTTCTTAAACAGCTACCATTACATAAGCACCAAGTACAGTTCTAATACTGACAACTGTACTAATATTTAGTACTGATGGCCTTTTAGCAAGTCTGACTTTTTATACTAAAGGGTTGCAGATTAATGCATTTATTTTCTATTCTTTGCTATAAATTGTTTTAAAAATCTTTGCATTTTGAATTAAGTATTCACTGTATTAGTTTTTTTTTTTACAAAACAACAGAAATCATTCTTTTTGTTATTCCACTCTATAGCAGGAAGCCCTGTAATCAAAGAATTTCATTTTCGTGAATTGTTCCCATTTGTATATTCAGTTCTAAGAACAACTTTTAAGAGGCCAACATTAGCATTATCAATCCTTTGCTGGTAGACTTCCAATAAGTTATACGAGTCAATTAGACCAACTCAGCTGATTCACTGGTCTCGGCGACCTTAATCAAGTAGTTCTGTTTTTTATATCAATCATTAATCTAAAAGTATATTTGTTTATTTTTTAGGTTTGAGTTCTCACAACTTTATGCAACTTTGAACCAATCCCAAAAACTACCTCAAATAAACCAGATTAACTGAATACAAGAAATGAGCTGTCAAAATGACAGCAGACCAAGTTTTCTGCATTTTGAACCTGCAACGTTCTGTGCCTAATTTCCAATCAATCAAGGACCATAACTCCTGAACAAACAGCAATAGGGAAAATCGTCAATATAGAACCTTCTGCCCACCATATTTTTCATTTTAATATAAATGGATTTTCCCTCTGGAAAACCCGAGTAAAAATTGTTTGAGAAGGTTGGCAGCAAGTGGAACTAAAATTAAAACTCTCACCATTTATAAGAAATAAAGCCAATATCTTGACTGACTTGCAGCTCGAATACAAAATATCTTTGACATATGTACTTACTTCTTTGTCTGACTATAGAGGCCTTCACTAGGTCAGTACCTGTCTTTTTATTGGGCTTTCCCTTCTTATTCCATTCTTCCATAAAAAATTTCAACTGCCTGAAATATCACATCTCATTTATTAAAATAATACAAAATATTTATGTAAGTTATCTCCCCTTATGTGAATGAAATTTGAAGGTAACGATAAGTATAAATTTTTAAAGCTAAAAAAAGTAATTCACACATTTATGTTGTGTTTTGTGTACTGTTGTTTGTCTGTTGGTCTTTTTCTTCTTTAGCCATGGCTTGGTCAGTTTATTTTCGACTTGGGGAGTTTGAATGTCCCTTTATTATCTTTGGGTCAAGTAGGATATACAGGATTGTAGTTCCATCGAAAGAATACAGGGGTAAATCGGTTTATATTTACATAAAGGCGACATGTCGACAGTTTCAATTTTTATGTACTTAAGTCGACATGTCGACAGATTGTCAATTTGAAAAGATCGACATTAAATTGTCAACTGTCGACCTGTCAACTGTTTACTTGTCAACGGTCGACCTGTCAACTGTTTACTTGTCAACTGTCAACCGTCTACTTGTTAATTGTTACCATTTAAGCATTATTCTGCTGTATTGAAAAATTTTGATTTTATCAACTTAATTTATGTCAACTGCAATTTGTTCTTATATATTTTAAAGATCCTTCATGTCCTTACTGCCCAAGAATACACAAACGTATAAATTTATGGTAATAGCCGGAACTATAGTACCGTATATACTAATTGAGCCATATCTTTTGCCTCTCTTTTAAAGAGAGCAATTAAAGTTCACCTAATCAGTTTTAACCTTGATACTAAAATTCTATGCTAGAGTGAACATTATAGACTTTGTAAACGGGACATAAACCTTAAACATGTAATAGAAGGTGACAAATGACAGTACAAGTCTTTAAAGGAGAAAAGTAGTGACACTGTCAGTAAAAATCTTTAAAGGAGAAAAGTAGTAGCAACTGTCAGTAAAAGTCTTTAAAGGAGAAAAGAAGTAGCACTGTCAGTAAAAGTCTTTAAAGGAGAAAAGAAGTAGCACTGTCAGTAAAAGTCTTTAAAGGAGAAAAGTAGTAGCACTGTCAGCAAAAGTCTTTAAAGGAGAAAAGCAGTAGCACTGTCAATAAAAGTCTTTAAAGGAGAAAAGTAGTGACACTGTCAGTAAGTCTTTAAAGCAGAAAAGTAGTAGCAACTGTCAGTAAAAGTCTTTAAAGGAGAAAAGAAGTAGCACTGTCAGTAAAAGTCTTTAAAGGAGAAAAGTAGTAGCACTGTCAGTTAAAATCTTCAAAGGAGAAAAGTAGTAGCAACTGATGAACAAAAGAGACTGAGATATCAACTTTTCTCAACTTAATGGTTTCCACTTTTTAAGAAACAAAAATGCAGAATTTTTCCAGGATTTCTCCAGGACACCTACTTACAAGGACGGCATCAAAAGAGATTGATGAAGAAGCCATGATTATAAATTATTTTTGACTGTAAAACACTGACCATGTTGGGAACAATATCCTTTCTTAAAACACTCCCGACACTAGTACTTAAGTCATGGTCATTAACTTAGGGCTTGAATATTAGGCAATCAATTATTAATCATGCCTCTTTCAAAGATTATACAAATTGCAAATCAAACACAGAATTGCGAAAGGGAAATAACTTGATTTAAAAACTTGATACGGAACATCAGAAATTCAATGGTTTTTCCAGGGTCTTAACTTGTAACTTCGTTTCAGCATTCTTGTCCAGAAGATTAATGAAATATTTGCTGTTGGACATTTAGCTACCAACATCAATAAATCAATCTTTTTTTTTAATTAACTATACCTTTGCTTATGACATAATGTACACAACCATGTGCCTGCAAGTCCTTGTTCTTGACACGCTCGACATACACGAAAATGGCACTTTGGACAAAGGTCACCACGATTAAAGAGAAATCCTAGCTCTGCATGACACCTGGCACAGATTTTGGACAAGTCATCACCATTCCGTAGCACACTTTTCATGCGAATAGCTTGAATTTCTAACTTCAGATGCCTAAAAGAAAATAAATAGTAATATTATATATTTCATACACAAAATGCAGATGCAAAGGGTAAACAGTTGAAAGTTTACAAAGTTAACAGTCACGTGCTGACCAATACTTGCCTTTCCATTTCTGATAGATCTGAAATTTCTGTACTTTTTTCATTCATCATTATTATTTTCACAAACAATCTTATGAGAAAAATATATTGTTGGTCACAAACAATACAGTATACCTTAAGATCAATTTTAATCATAAAATTTTTATGTGAAATGAGCAGCTGGTGTTGTTTTGAAGTGCAGTAAAAATGGAGTTTCATCCAGCAAAATGTGGGATTTTCTTTACATACATATCCTGCACATAAAATTTAGTAGGAATTCTAAATCATATAAATCACATTTGTTCAATAAAATACATACAATGACAAATTGGACAATTTAAAATTTGTTTCTGGTTTTTACTCTATGGTAGATATACTGTCATGTGACCATGCACCTACATTGTATCACTGTTGAAGCTCCTTAAAATAAATAAATCAATTAAACCAAAGATATGAATATTCCATGCCTACATGTCTGGCTGGTCCTTGGGTCTCCTGGACAAGTAAATATTGTCCAGCTACTTTTCTTGGACAAGTTATTTCTGAAATAGCACAACTAGGAGGGACAGATCAATAAACTGCTTCGCTGAGCGCAGCTGGATACGCCCGCAGAGGTCCAACCCTGAACAGTTGGGGCAAAAATGGACACAATATTCAAGCTTGATACAGGTCTGAATTTGGATTGTAATTAAATATTTGACATATTATAGGTTTCTGAGTAAATGTAGTCAAAGAACTTGAAATTGGTTATAGGAATTGAATTTATATTCAATTAAAGATTTCTTGCTGTTGTGCAATACACTATGCTGTTGAGCAATACTTAGTAAATCTGATGTCAGACTATAAACAAATAAAATTTTTAAAATTCTAAAGGGAGCTTACATCAATAGATATAAACAATTCACCAAAGTTTCATAAGAATTGCTGAAAGCATTTTTGAGTTATTGTCTGAAAACTGGAAAATCCCCCCTTTTTTAATGAATAAAACCCCATAACTCGGAAATGTAAAATCTAAAATTTATAAAATTCTAAAGGGAGCTTACATCAATAGATATCAACAATTCGTCAAAGTTTCATGAGAACTGATGAAAGTATTTTTGAGTTATTGTCCGAAAACTGGAAAATCCCCTTTTTTTTATGAATAAAACCCCGTAACTTGGAAACGTAAAATCTAAAATTTATAAAAATCAAAAGGGAGCTCATGTCAATAGATATAAACAATTAACCAAAATTTCTTGCAAGTTGGTGAAAGCATTCTTGAGTTATTGTCCGAAAACTGGAAAATCCCCCTTTTTTTAATGAATAAAACCCCATAACTCAGAAATGTAAAATCTACAATTTATAAAAAACGAAAGGGAGCTCACATCAATAGATATAAACAATTCATCAAATTTTCATGCAAATTGGTTAAAGCGTTCTTGAGTTAATGTCCGACATGTTGACGACGGACGGACAGACGGACGGACGGACAGACGGACAGACAGACAACAGTATACCATAATACGTCCCGTAAGCGGGCGTATAAAAATTTGTCCAGGGAAGTAGATTTTTGTATTAAACTTGTCCTGAGGTGAACATTTTATATATTTCCACACCCTGTAATAAAGGTAAATAGTATGAAAATAAGATGTATGGAAATGTTTGACAATGAAACAACTATAAATAAAAAGACCAAGGACAAGGACTTCAAAAACCTTCAACAATGAGCAAAACCATACTGTATAGTAGGCTATAAAATGTCCAGGGATGACATAGTATGAATCAATTCAAAAGAGAAAACCAAAGGCTCGATTTATATATCCATATAAGGGGATAATTTGCCTTTATTCCTTGGTAATTAAGAAGTAATTATATAATCTTGTACAATTATGGTTTACCATGCATTAACTTGAATTAACTATATTCATTAAAAAATAAACATGTAATTGCAATACTTCACACACAATTATCTTTGTAATTAGTGTCGTGAATATTTTTCCCCCTCAAAAAAGCTTTTCATGTCCAACAGAATAAAATGTTCGGGTGTATTTAAACATTAGATACAATTAATTGTATTTACCATTCATGTCTAGCATTTGATCTGCTTTCATGTTTTATGCTTACCAATTGTTAACTATCCATTTACATGAACAATTTTAATAAGCAAATCTTGAAAAAGCTGTGCATAAAATAGTTATCCTCCTTTAGCTCAGGTAGTCAAGGGTAACACTTATACAAGTTATTTTTTCATATACTGGAAGATGCAAGTTAAAGTACAGTTATTTGTATAATAAACTCATCATAGATAACAGAATTATAATTTTGTACACAGGATGCTCTTTTGTCTACAAAAGACTTATCAGTGACGCTCGAATCAAAAATGTTAAAAAGGCCAAATAAAGTATGACGTTGTAGAGCATTTAGGACCCCAAAAAAATAAGTAAATGTGTCTGATATGAATTATCTTTTCAAAGTTTGAATAATCTCCCTGCATGTTTCTCAAAAAGTTTACTTATACAAGAAATGTTTAAATAAACCCCTGACATTCTGAGGGTTTGAGTGGTCAAATCATGCCACAAACGCTTTATTTGGTGTGCCTATAATAAGGATTCAACCATTTATCTCAAGAACCATTCTTTATGTGCCTGTCCCAAGTCGGGAGCTAGTTGTTCTGTGGTTGTTGTTGGTTCATGTCAGTCATATTTGTTTTTCATCAATAGTTAAAATTAAATTAGGCCGCTAATTTTTTCAGTTGAATTGTTTTATATTTTTCATGTCGGAGCCTTTATAGCCAACTATATGTTATGGGTTTCTCTCATTGTTGAAGGCCGTACGGTTGCCTTTTATTGCTAACATCCATTTCATTTGAACTTTGGTGGATAATTGTATCATTGGCAATCATACCAAATCTCCTTATTTTTATAAAGAAATCTATGTCTTTAAAATATACTTCCTAGAGGCTTGTAAATAGGCCGTATTTGGAGAGAAAAAAAAAAAAAAAACAAATGAGATTTTTATTCATGAAAAGATAATTCATGGGCGGATCCAGCAATTTATAAAAGGGAGAGTTGCTAACCCAGGATAAAGGGGGGGTTCCAACTATATGTCCCAATTCAAATGCATTGATCGTCAAAAAAAAAAGGGAGGGTTCCAACCCTCGGAACCCCCACCCCTGGATCCGCCATTGTAATTTCATAAATATTAAAGATAACTTTTAAAGACAGACAGTTGTACTCTATTAAAGCAATGAAGCAAGAAGTAATTTATGAAAAGAAGAAAATATGACTTTTTTACTTATATTATTTCATAAAAAGAAATCGGCATGACTACTGAATTTAAGTTTACCTCCATAAAAATACATTTACTGGTATCAGTAAATAAAAAATAATTGTTTAAATATTATCCATGACTGTCAGCATGATCAAGTAAAAAGTTATGAACCAAAAAAAAATCTTGACTGATCACATATAAACATTTCCAAGATCATAAAGAGAAAGACAATATATTTTTTCCTTGGTCCTTCCTGTATTTAGACCCCCCTACCAAGAAATTTGTTTTGCATGCACAGGTATAAAAATTGCGGTTTTTTATCCAACGCAATCACAGGTTTGAACATTGTTTTCAATTTAGAGTTGTTTATATTTTTTCCTTGGTCTATATACAATGCAGTATCTCTAAGATTTATAGACCAAAAGTACAAGAGCAGGGCGCCTTTATACAAGTAAAAGGAAGAAATAATTTGATCAAATTTAATCTTTTTTTAGCAACTGTTTTTTTTATGTGAAATTTCAATTTGACCTTTGCAATGTTCAATGACCATAATATTATCCTTTTTCATATAGTTAGGTAAGAGACCTTATAAATAATAACATTAAAACACCCATAACTTGTTCTTTCAAGCATGACATGACACCAGAATATGACCTAGAGGCAATAAGATATTAATTCAAATAGTTTCACCTCAATTGAATCTATTATAGATAAATTCCTCAATAAGTAAAATTACACAAATGAATAAAAAAGAAAATAAATACCTACATCACACATAGTGATTCTTTTGAAATTATTATGAGATTTCATGAAAAAAAATCGATTTAATACCTATTGATAAAAAGATTATGTGGTCGTTATATTTATTCATTATTTCCCGTGACATATTGTACTGTCCAACTATCTCAAGTATTTACTTAAAAGATTAACCAGCAGTGTTTACTTAATGTAGATAAAACATTACATTAACAATACTGCCAATTATTTAACAGGATTGCATGCACTTGTGCATAATATGCATTTAAAGTGCATCATCCCATACGCTACATGTAATAAATGAATTTATTTAAAAATTATTCAGTATACTGTGAGGAGGAACATTGGCTAGACTTCCTTTTAAACCCCCCCTTCATGTTTAACAATAGGAGAGGTATAAAAGGAAGTCCTTCTGAAACATATTGAGCTTAAGTGGCCCTGTAAATTCACCAAAAAAAAAACATTATGTAAACTTCTGGTCTCTTTTATTTTAAGTTCTTTAAAAATATGTAAATATTAGCTTAGGTTTTATTAAACAAAATGACCTATTTGGGCATTAAGGTTATGTCATAAGGAAAACTTGCTACATTCATGACATAAACATTGAAAAAAGTTTTTACTTCTATGTCAAAATGTAGTTTTAATTGTCCTTTTTTAAAAAATAATAAAAATTATAGTGTTTCATGCTGCAGGTTGTGAAGAGTGGACTCATTTTTTTTAAGCATTAAATTAATAAGATTAGAAAAAATTTAATGACAGAGTTTTGAAGTATATTACCAGAAGGTACAAGCGGCTCTAAGAAATTTAAAAGAAAATATGGGTGACCAAACATTTTTTTTGGTGTTCTTGCACATTCCTTTGTAAAATTAAATTCATAGGTTTATCGTCCCATATAAGATTGATTGATTGATGTTTTAACGCCACTTTCAACACTATTGTGCTATTTCGTGGCGGTCAGTTTTTATTATTGGAGGAAGCCGGAGTGCTGGTAGAAAACAACGACCTTCGGTAGGAAAACTGACAATCCTAGTCAATTAAGATTGGAGTCGAGTGCACTCCCATATAAGACTTAGTTTAGCTGTTATAAAACAGTCGTAATAATAAGATAAAATCAGACAATTTTCTTCATTTAAATGTCAAGTCTTATAAATAAACAGCATTCCTGTCTTCGATTTTGACTTTTTCATTCAAAATCTAGACTATTGTTTTCTGCTTATTTACAATCCAAGAACGACCTAGCTATACTACTTTGAGTAGAAACAAGGTAATTTAAGTAACATCTTAGCTTAATAACATAGAGCACACAAGTTGCCCAATATAATTTGTTGCCAGCAATAAGATAAACATGAAATAGACACATCCTTTTTTAAGAGGATTGAACTATGTATTTCTCAGTTTGCTTGAAATGAAGCAGTCCAATTTCACGTAATGTCGCAGGTTTACTACATTAACTTTCATTTTATTGATCTATTACTCCATTTTAAGGGAATACTAAAATAGCAATTGATGTGTTTTTAAAGTCCATAGGCACAGCATTTAATTTTGAAAATTGGAAAAAATTGGAAAAAATATGATTTTAAGTGCCAACGTGACTAAGCGAATGTTTTTTTCTTTGATTAAATTGTAATCATTTCTAAGAAACAATGAATTACTTAGTCACCGAAACACAACAAAAAGCAAAGAAGACACATTAAGAATATTACCCACTAGAAATAGAAATTTCATATTATTGAAAACTTAGCTTAAAGAACTTAAAAGAAAAGAGACCAGAAGTTTACAACACATGAAATTGTGATCACAAAACAGGTGTCCTTTTCACAACAATAATTTTACTTTTCATCATACATGTCATAAAGCAAAAATTAAAGAGTCTATTCAGGATAAGAAATGAAAGCTCTCAACTATATATACATGTATGTTACATCATTCTGATGAAACATGAGAAATCTCAATTTACTTCATGTAATAATAACAAGTGCAGACAAGATTTTATTTTTCAGAAAAAAAAATTGAATCTTAAGAATACCTACCTGTACAGAAACATAAATAATCAAATTACAATTTTAAAAAGATATACACTAAATCACCATTTTGACATCACATTAAAATAAACCAAGATCTAGGGTAAACTTTAATAAAACAGATACCCAACATCACCAAAAAAACCCTCTTCAAATAGTCATAAAAGAAAGACAAGGGCCAACATCCCAAGGAAAACCTAATCATAATGTCTAGATAAGTTGTGAATGAATTCAACAGTGGCAGATCCCGAAATTTTCATAAGGGGGGGCCAACTGACTGCCTAAGAGGGGACCCGCTCCAGTCATGCTTCAGTGATTCCCTAAATAATCAACCAAATTTTTTCTACAAAAGGGGGGCCCAGGACCCTTGGAAAACACTCTAAATCCACCTCTGTTCAAATGACACCATCAAAGATTAATTATAAACACCACATTCTTAATCAAAATACAAAATTTGTGAAGAGTCATGATCAGAAACAACCACTACAAAAAAGTTCCAGGCTTGAGACAGACATATAAATGTGATAAATATACATGTACAATAGCATACATCTGTAATGGTGAAGATTTCTCTGAATTGACCTAATAGGCAAACATTTGGACCCTCTTAATTTATATGTATTTAAGACTAGAAACTCTTGAAATTCAACATGTTTTTAGATTTCAATCAATCTAGTCTATGCTGACCCAGTACATCTATGATCTTTCAAAATTTTCACAACCCTGATGTCTATGCCAATTGACAATTAAGCTTCTTGCACTTTACATTTCATAAGTCTATTAACATCAAATTACCCTATTTTTCTGTCTTGAGACTTTTTGAGTTCATCATCTTTCTTCAAGACAGACAAGATAATCTTGCGTTCTTCTTCTGTCAAAGTGTCCAGATTTATCAAACTTTCCATTGACATAATGAGGTTTTTGCCGAAACTTCTTTTAACTTCTAACTATAAATATACATTTCTGCATCTTCCTCAAACATTCTGAAAATATAAAACCAAAATCTGATTTATTCAGTTTCTCACAAGTTCATGGCCAATCAACAGCTCTTGTTTTGTAAAAGTAAAACCAAGCACAGTATTGGGAAAGATTATTGTGAATCACAGTCGTTAATGGATTTCAGTACATGTGAAAAATAAATGATTCTCATCCTGCTATATATTTTTTAAATCATTAAAATTATCGCAGTTAACTCAAACTACTGATTACATATAAATATCTGATATACCAATTGCCTACTAAATTCTGTAAGTGAGTACATACATAGACTTTTATGCATCCAATTATTAAGATGCTCTTTGTAATGTGAGAAAAAGCTATTCTTTTTATTTCATTTTTTCATTCAAACAAAATATTTTTTGTTCATCTAGGTCTATGAAATAAACACAATACTGAATTCATTTCAATAGGAAGTTCAATGTACATGCATTCTATAAATATAGAAACAGTATGGTTGTCAGGTGAATTAATTTCTAAATACAAACTGTGACACAGAGATATGTCTGGTCTGTCGGAAGAAATTTCAGCAAGACAATCTGATGGACAGCAACATTGCTAAGAAAATTCAGCAAAAGACAATCTGATGGACAGCAACATTGCTAATTAATTCAAAGTTGCTGGACCATGACAACGTGTTAAAAGGATCGTTAAACTGAGATGTACTAATAGCAATGCAACTTTAGAGAAAATATCATTGATTATTCACAAGTAGTTCCTATCAAACTGGTTTAAGCAGAAAACTTAACATTGAAAATGGTTAGTAAATTCAAAGTCACTGGACCATGAGCTAGCGGACAGGCCTTGATATAGTCACCAAACTTATGTGTACTGACAGTAATGCAACTCTAAAGAAAATATCATTTATCTAACACAAGTAGTTCCTATCAAACTGACTTAAGCAGAAAACTTGACAATTGTTGATGCTGCCAATAATGACTACAACCCTGGAACAGCAACACCTATGTCTCACCTTCTGCAACAGGCAAGGCAAAAACTGGTCCAATTTGATAACAATTCTTATCGAAATTTAAACTTAAGTCGATTTTATTAACAAATACCATAAATAATCAACTGTAAATAAAGTCAATCATATGGCTTTTTTATAAGTTATGTCAATTTGTTTTTTAAACTTTGAACATGAAATAATTAAATAAAAAAATATATATATATCTGTCTCATTTACATAAACTTTCTATAATTCTAATGTAGATCAGTGAAGCATTATACATTACACAAACATAATGCAATTTAAAAGAACATTCACATGCAAAAGTAATAAAATTTGTCATTTTCATCATATAAAATTGTGCATTAAATACCCTAACATGCATAAATATACTTGGTGTCAGGCAATATACTGTTATATTATACTGTCATGTTAGATAGCTTGATTAAACTGAAGAAAAAAAATATGATCAGAGCTAACAAATGCATCTGTCTTTCCCAATTTATATATTAGCTACGATTATGAAAAAAAAATCAAAATACATTTTGTTTGGTTTCAACATTTATAAAAGTGGAATTGTGAATTAATAGTTCGCTATAAGCAGTCAGTTCGAATCAATTTAGTAAAAATAAGCTCAAAAACATTAATTATGTATTATTGGCTTGCAAGTTAATAATTCAACTCATTTGAATAGTATTCATCCAACCTTCAATGTTAACCCTCAGCTGGAGATGGGCTAACAAACTGAAAAAATAATGTGCATCTTTTATAGTAGGCAGGGCATAAAAATTAAGTACATATAATGCCGCAAAGTGCTGAAGATTTTCAGGAAGTTTCACTGAAACCCATTCATTTTGGGATACTTCATGGATTTCATGGGTAAAGGTTTCAAAAACAAAATATAAGTTTTCAATAGACTTGTATGCATAAGTTATCTAAACCACAAAATCAAGTATTCATCAATAACTACAATTTTTCCAAAATCCCTGTAAATTAGTACATGTACTCAAATCTACATTATTGACTGTTAAGCATTGGATACTGTTAAATTACACCAAGAGTAAGAATTAACTAATGTCTTGTATAATTTTGTATGCTGCTCTGCTATAAGAAGGCCTTTAATTATCAAGAGGAATTAAGTTTGGTCAATTCAGAGCTTATTAGACTATGGCCACTTGTCAATTCTTGAAGAGTCTATAGGTTTGACTGTAGCATATCTATTTTTGTTAAACTTGATAGATGACTGCATCATTGACTCTCAAAATGAATAAATTTTAATGAAAATAGTTTAACATATTAAAGGGAAAATTCGCGATTTTTTACTTTTCATCTTATTATGTTCATAATACCATAAAAAACATATTTACCAAGTTTTATCTGGATATGAACACTAATAAAGAAGAAAATTGGGAATTAATAATTTTATTTATTCCAACTTCCTGACTTATGTGACGTAGTTTAAGTCTTTTTGCATGCCGGGAGTGAATAAATCTCGTTGTAAGTCTTGTTCGTTAATCATCTAATAACGCGATTTAAAGCGCATCGACGACTTTTGGCGTAGCTATTAACCAACTAATAATTAAGAAAGTAAAGTGATCCGCCGTGCAACTTTCAAAATTAAAATGTACAATTTATATTTAAAGGATTTCTGATATGATTATAGTAATAAAAGTAAATCATACAATAGAATATATTTTCATGAATTTTTTTTCCGACGGATATTTTGAACAAATATATATAACTGATATTGTTTTACAAATGCATGTTTGTATTCTCACCTGAAGGCTTTTACTTCAGTCGAGTACTGTGTAAATACAATGTGTATTGTACTGTGACACTAAGTGACCACCTGTTGAATGCGTGGTTAAATTCAAGGTAATTAAAAGATTAGCATTCTGTAATTCTATTCTTTTGATCATGTTGATCTTCACTCGGTGAATTTTAGCCAACACGGTTCACCGTTACAGGTGTGAACAACATTTCGTATGAATGATAAAAACATTAATTATTTGGGGAGGAATATGGTGGCAAAATACCTGAATCGCCGTTATATACATGTATATCTTTTATATTTTGCGTAAGCTTAATTTTAAAATAGATAGGTGAGTATTTTGTTGTAACATCGAAATTCTGAATTACTTTCAATTAAATAATTTTACAAATAAAAATGGCCCACGAAAACGAGCGTATAAACCAAACACTGTACTTACTTTTTCAAATTATCATGGGTATTAACCGTTAATATTTCAATGTTTAGAGAAAATTATCGCGGTTACATGATTAATATAGCTTGGTCCGTCCACAGCGATCTACATTTACCTAATCGGGAATGCCCTTATTAAAATATTTAAAATCTCACAACGTATACATACTTTAGCTATTTGACCAACGATGTTTAAAAAAAATAACAGAATCAATCTAACGTCAACTTTCCTTTTTTGAATGGAGACAGACCAGAGGAATCAATTTTCAATGTGCTTTATATCTTGTACCTTTGCAAGACTTATCATTCATTCATAAACCCACTTTATACCAGAGACATATATGTCAGTCTTAACTGACAAGAATACACCTAAAGCGGACAAGCAGTATTTTCTTTAAGTTTCTGTGATTTAATACCAAGAAAGAAAAAAATCCCGAAATTAATTTGATACTTTGATACTCAATATTTTTCCTGGAAAATATTCATATCCTCGTTTGGTCTGAAAATAAGATAAGAATTTGGTATACAGAACATGCAGAAGTGTGAATGTCATAAAACCTTGTTATATCAGAAACCATTATAAATGTGAACCTGTATACGTAAGACCTCATGGGACGTCACCTAACCACATACAGGTAATATACAAGTAGCTCTGTTATACCCGGAAATGTCAAGGTAAATCACTACCGATACAGAATGTACCAATGCAAAGAAAATTCTGATGATTGTGAAGCATGACCATTCATGATTTTAGAGGAGTCTTAGGTGGAAATTGCCGGTACGATTTAAATTCTGACTATATTTTTTTCTCTCAATTTAAATCACTGAACTTAAAAAAAAAAGAAACATACGCCCAAGATCAGAATTCTTCATGTAAATTCATAAATACAACGTTCTTATTTTGTAACTTTCGATATACTTCACCCCCAACCACCGCCCCCTCCCAACCTGGGAACAGTATATCTAACATAACAATGTTTGTGTACCTGCCCAAATAAAAAAAAAAAGATGAAAAAAGAAAGAGATGAACGGTAAGTCACATCAGATTCAAATATTTATATGGTTGATTGTCGTTAACTAGAGATGTAAAGTTACATGTCTCTGCGTTAACTTATAAGAATGACAGGAAAGTATATACTTGAAATAGATTTATGATGAATAATATGCAACTGCAGCACCCCTTTTTATCAAAGTGTACATGCATGTATTTTAATGACTGTCCGTTATTTCGATTAAGAATGACAAGTGTACGTGAAATTCTATAGTTGCCAGTGAGACTTTTTTTTTACCAGATATGCGACTTTTCGTATTTATATTTTCTCTTATATTACTCTCATTTAATATTTTATGCATAAGTGCAATATTAGGAATGGTTTATCCCCCATCCCTATTAAGCTAACTAAATAAATTAATCAACCTTCTAGCTGACCAGACGTTAACACATCTACTATCAGTCAATTCGGAGTGAAGTTTCTTTATTTCTTCAAATAAGCTTTTTGGGGATCATTAGTGTACGTCCAGTGGCATATATATTACATGCATGTCGGAACAGGAAAATTGACATGATGTATAATAGAACCATGTTCACATTATTACATTATTATATATAATACACAACCATTGAGATGATGACGACTTTCTTAAACTGTTCAAAATAATCTTATGGAAATAAAAATCTGTGATTTTACTATGTGCATACCTTTGATGAACCAAAGCAAGTTAGATATACATAAATAAAATAAATAAAATAAATAAAATAAATAAAATAAATAAAATAAATAAAATAAATATTTTATTATAGTGTCACATATTTGATCAAACAATATATATATACA